AAACTAATTCACAAAGCAGATTTCAAACTCAACAGGTGCAGCCTTTGCCATGAATTAGGGGTCACAGAAAGGTACTAAAGCTAGTGATCATATTTTGTTAATCTCTAAGACAACTTTTGCAACTTAATTAACTGAAAATCGTGCATAATTTGCTTGCAGGTATAATGTAATCATGGATTTTCCTCTAACTTTAGACATAAACAGACTCGTTAACGGAGGCCCGTAAGTGATGCATCCTTCATAGTTCCACTCTACACATTCTGATTATATCCCCATAAAAACATGTGTGCAATGTTATATATATTGCTTGATCTGCTGGTTTTGATATGCAGATTAGTAGAGTACAATCATGAAGGATGTGCAAGAATAGGTGTGATGCCACGCTACGGAGATGCAGATTCAGTCCGCTGGTTTAAAGTTGAACCCAATTGCACATTTCACATCATCAATAGTTTTGAAGATGGTGATGAGGTAACTTAAACAAATTGGCAATTTCATTTGAAATTTCACCATGTTATTGGAGGAATTATCTCCAATTATTGTTGTTTGTATACAGCAAACTGGGACACATTTTTTGAGACGCTTTTTAATAGAGGTGTTCATTCCTTTGTATGTGAGACCACTCATATTAGTGTGTCAGCAAATGAGTAAGTTTTGTTTCCCATGCTTTAGACTTCCAATTAACTTGCAAACCAAACCGCATTTGGAATCTAATTTTGTTTGTGGTGGGAAGAGCAGGTTGTTGTGTGGGCTTGTAAAGCTCTGGACTCAGTTATACCAGGACCTGACATGGCATTGAATCAATTTGGGTGGTTGCCAAGAAAATTGAAGCCTACAAGTACAAGTAAAGAAAATGATATCTCACCAGATAAGGGAAACTTACTTTCTCATGCTTATGAATGGAGATTAAACATGCAAAGTGGGGAAGTCAATGAGAAATATCTCACTGGAAAAAGGTTATCCATGGATTTTCCCATGATCAACGGTGCTTTTTCCGGCTATAAAAATAGATATGGCTACGCCCAAGTGGTTGATTCCGTCGCAAGCTCTGCCTCAGGTAATTATGCTTTATCATTCCCAAAAATAACTTAACTACTCTCTAAATTGCACATCTCAGACCATTAATGGTTATGATATATGGCTATATGTCTTTCAGGAATGCTCAAATACAGTGGTCTAGCACTTTGAAGAACCAGCTGGTGTTTCTTCGGTAATTAAATTGGCCTGAACATTTTTTCAAGTGAATTTTTCTCCTGCAATTGTATGCATGGATATGTGACCACTATTATTTGTTCTTTTATTGCATGGATTACTAGATAAGCGAAGGCCAATTAGAAGAGGAAATAAAGGTGGAAAATCATATGTTTGAGGAGAACAGCTTTTGCAGTGGAGCTTCTTTTGTCCCAAACCGAAGGGGTCTTGAAGAAGATGATGGATGGGTTATCACTTTTGTTCACAACGAAGATACCAACATATCTCAAGTATATTTCAAGTCTTGTTTTGAGAAATTTTATTATTTTTCTTTAAATTGATTCACATTTATATGTGTTGAAGTGCTATCTAGTTAGTATAACTTTGTATATTATTTTTTCAGGTTTATGTGATTGACACAAAGAAAATTTCTAGTGAGCCTGTTGCTAAAATTACATTGCCACGTAGAGTTCCATACGGATTTCATGGAGCTTTCAAGCCAATCTCATCCTCCACGTAATGTCATCATCAAGTTCTGAGATTTCACGCTTTTTTTGTCGCAGTTTCGGGGTTTATAGAATGTTAATTGTGGACGAGTAATGCTATTTATATTATGTTTTTAAACCACATATTTATACCACCTTAGTTGGCATCTGATGTGGACAACCACATCATTTGGAAAATTTGCAAAATCCAAAGAAATAAAGGAGAAAGACTCATCGTATACCACAATCATCATTTAATTAACTAGTTTTTCTTAATTATTAGTTTATTAAATAATGAACTAAATTTAAAAATCTGATTAATTCAAATGATGTGGCTGTCTACATCAAATGCCAACTAAAATGGTATGCAAATGTGGTACAAAAACATGGTAGTAATCGATGGACTGCCATTATGTGTATTCGTTTGCTGCAGGACAATGTAATGGCTTGTAAATTTGTAATTAACTGAGAAAACGGTAGAGTGTAATTAAAGGGTCTAGATTAAGGAGTCCGAACTTTGGCATTAGATCTACAACGATTACATAACACTATTGCATTCGCCAAACTTAGTGGGAGAAGTACAAAATTAAATTGATGTTCCTACATATCTAAGATATATTCTGAAATCACAACAACAATAAAAACATCTACTTGTCTAATTATTTGTAAACTTTGTCATCTAAGATTGCCAACCCTCCACAATTAGTTTTTTCCCCAGAAAGAAACAAAGGAAATCCTTATAGGAAGGTCATGCAATTAGAAGCCAAGCTAAACTTAAGAGTAATGTTATTCATATCACGTTTTTATATCACATTTTCATATCATCTTAGGTGACATCTGATGTGGACAGCCATATCATTTGAAAAATTTGCAAAACCCAAGAAATGAAAGAGAAAGATTCCTTATATATCACAATCATCATTTAATTAACTAGTTTTTCTTAATTATTAGTTTATTAAATACTGAACTAAATTTAAAAATCTGATTAATTCAAATGATGTGGTTGTCTACATCAAATGACACCTAAGATGATATGAAAATATGGTATGAATAACATTACTCTAAACTTAATCCAAATCCTCCATGCATATCACCGGGCCACATGCAGACAGTATTGGGAAGGAACTATATAGCATTTTTGCTACTCGGTATTGTTTTAGTATTTTTATATACAATTAAAAGGAGATCACCCTTCCCCTTTACCCCTCCCAACACAGGTTGGTGGTCGATGTAGTGTATGAGAATAAATGGCTGGTGTGACTTCTCATTTTTCAAAGAACATAATTAAAGTTCTCTTAATTAGGTTGCATTGTAACTAAAAGATGTTTTTTTTAGTTTGAATTCTCTCTTCTATCAATGAGTATGTATCTTACTAACCCACCCTCTCTGCCTTTCTTTCCTTTCCTTCCTCCTGGCAGGACCCCCACTCTACCGCCATATTTCCTTCCGAACCCAGCCATGAAAATCTTAGCTTTTAAAAAAAAAAAAAAAAAATTTCTTCTTTCAACATACCTTTAAGATAATGGTTTATCCATTTTAATCCAATCCTTTACCAAACGAGGCATATCCTATGTGTTGAATCCAATACTGTACATAGCAGATTTCACTTTGGCTCCAAGAGATCCACATATATCCACTGGAGGCCTCTTAAAGAATCGAGTGTACTCGAATTCTCTCAAGTGGTTTAATTTTTAGAAGTCTAAAAAAATAAGATAAATTTGTTTAGAAGTGCTTTTAAGATAATAAGAAGCACTTCAGGTGCTATTTGGAGAAGTTTTTTTTATTAAAAATATGGATGTGAAGCTGAAAGTTTTAACTTGTCTACTTTTCAAACAAAAATGATATTCCTACCATTTTTTTGTAATACGATAATGTTAGGGAGATCAAAATTTAAACCAAATGATGTGTAACCAATAAAAAATAAATACGTTAATCATCACTTAAGTACACTGTTCCAAAAATCCTCGCCTAGCACTACCCCAATTAATGCCTAGGCGTTTGAAAATTAAGAAAGGACGCCTAGACCTGCTGAGGCGCCCGCTTAAACCGCTTAGGCACCCGTCTAGCCTACCCAGACCTGCCTAGACACCTGCCAAGATTGCAACTCGCTTAGATAGAAAATAAATAACTTTCCTTTTGCATTTTATTATTTCCAATATATTGTAAGAGACTTATTGAACACTTAAATAAACAAACATTATATGTTTGCTCCCTATATTTTCATTATGTTCCAATATTTCATAATATATATGTCATTCTATTTTCTAGTTTATGATGAAATTATATATATTTTAAGTATAAACATACACTTATTTACACAAAATACAATAGATTTACTTAAATTCGTCTAGTCCGCTCATGCGCCCGCCTAGGCTCCGTCTAGCTACCTAGGCACTAGGCCTCAATCTACTGTCCGACTAGCGCATAACATCTTTTAGAATCTTGCTTAATTAATAATCAAATAATCAACCATAGAGCGGAGGGACCTAAGGACCACAATAATCCTAGGCCTACCCTGCCTTTGTAAAAAAAAAAAAAAAATATTAGTACATGTTTGGCCGTCTTCCCTGTCCAACTTCTGTAATTCAGACATGTATCCTACTTGTAGCACAATGATTTATACCATTTCCAATGGGACCAGGATGCTCTCCTAAGTTAAGGGTGAGGATCCTCCTGAGCAAGCCAATCGGGCCATTAAAATTGTATTCAACAACTACAAACAAGGTACCCCTCTAAAAGTTATAATAATTGTAACCGTTGGATAAAATTTCAACGGTCCGATAGGCTTACTCATGAGGATATCCTCACCCTTAGCTCAGGAGAGGATCCCGATCCATTTCCAATGCACTTCCTAATCAGATTGGCCCCCTTTTTAATATTGTTATTAGTTGATATAGACATTTACTCAATTGGCCCCCTTTTCAATATTAAAATATTTAATTGATATAGACTTTTAGAGCAACTCCACCGTTGCTAAGGCCCCCCCAGGGCTATTCACTATTTAATCCACCTAGTGAACAGTAATTGCCCCTTAATAAACAGTAACTGTCTTTTGTATCTCCACCCCTACACTGAATAGCCCTGGCAATAGATAATAAAATAATAGTAATTTTTTTTATTTATAAAATAATACAAAATAATTATTTTAAGAAAAGTACAAATTAAAGATTAAAGATTAAGGATGCAAATTCCATTGCAAAGTTAATGCAACTTCTCACATTTTAACTAGTCAAATTTTGACTGAAGTTTTCATCTTTAAAACAGTTTGCTCAAGCAATTAACTAATCAAATCAAAACTTGCACAAACCCCATAAGCAAATTTCAATGGCGTTGAGAATATCTCTGAAGAGCAAGGGCAAGACTCCGGCGAAACCTTCCAAGGGCTCGGATGAGCACTCGGTGGCTCAATCCTTCAAGGAGTGGAGCACGTGGGCCCTAAAGAAGGCTAAGGTCGTCACCCACTACGGCTTCATTCCCCTAGTCATCATCATCGGCATGAACTTGGAACCCAAGTCGCAACTCTCCCAACTTATCAGCCCCGTCTGATTTGATCCGGGTCGGATCATCCAATTTCGGTGCTGTATTTTTGGTATTGTCTCTAATGGGTTTTGTTTTATAAAATTTGGGGTTCCTGCTTCGTAAAATTTGGGATTTCTGCTTCGTTGCCGCACCCATCCACCGTGAGACGACGATGTCGTTCAAGAACCATAAAGGTTGAGAGAGAGAGAGAGAGAGAAAAGGAAGTTCGGCCCATCCACCACGTGGCTGACGTCGCCCAGACGTCAGCCTTGCGTCACATGCCCTTCGGGCTGTCGAGCTGGCAACTCCTGCCTGGCCTCTCCCTAAGGCCAACTCGGGCTTCATCGATAGCACACGCCAAACCAAGTTGCTCGGGCTTTTTGGCCCTGTTTGAGAGCCAGTCCATCGGGCTATTGCCCACGATAGAACTGCTCTTACACAATCTGATCATCTCCATTCTGCTTCCCAATAATAAAATAAATATTTTATTTGAAACAAAAGGATTTCACTGCATCCCCATCATATAACTCTCGGTTTCTTTTTCTCTCACACTGTCTCACTGAAGCAGCAATTACAGTGGAGCATGAACTTCAAAACTCCATAGGTTCTCATCTTTAATTCTTTGTAATTTGTCAACGTTATATAGATTGTAATCTCTATATGTAAATTAATTCAACATATTATATTTGTTTTGTAGATTAGAAGATTAAGTCCATTTTTCCAACAAAGAAAAAGAAATTGAAGTTTAGTTAGTTAACCTACAACCCAAAGTATGCATTTTACTCTCAATCCCTCTTGCAATAGTATAGAGGATGAGGCTATCATACAATGGTTTCAAATAGTTTTGCAAATACTATCCGTTTAATTTTTTTTCTAACATTTGTACGAGGCCCCTCCTAAGTCAAAATACTGGCTATGCCACTAATCAACCACCACATCATTTAGTTTAAAAATAGGTCTTCATGACATTACTCTTTATACTATTATTTATACCATCTCTCTAATAGAGATGAAACTCACATGTGCTGATGGACCCTATCTTTATTAGAGAGATGGTAGAAAGTGTGTCACTGCCTACTCCTTTTCAAAATGGGAAAGGGATCCTCTTCGGATCCCTTTTTCTAATCCATCAAGTCCGGGGATTCGGGCCGTTGAAATTTGATCTAACGGCTAAAGTTATTATAACTTTTAAAGTAGATCCATGCTTGTAGCCGTTGAATTAAATTTCAATAGCCCGGATCCCCAAACTTGATAGATTAGGAGGAAGGAATCCGGAGAGGATCCCTTTTCTTCAAAATGTCCCTGTTTTGACTTGCTGAAGATTACAAAAGAGCTTCATCTTCTTTGTAATTTTATATGAAATAAACCCACCGTTGTTAGCCAGTTGGCTTATTTCTAGATCATATTCCAAAGCGTTCAACCACTAATCCAGAAGCATTAGACAAGGGAAGATGCTTTTAAGCTCAAACGAATCTTCATTTTTTACGTGAACAATTAATTAATCCAATGCTAAGATAGATACTAACGTCCAATAAGCAATTGCTAGATATTTTCTTTCTTTATACATGCATTATTATTGTGATAACTTTAACGAAAAACTCCCGATACTGTTTACTTTAACGAAAAATCATATTTTTACACTAAAAAGTCAATCTTTGTATTATTCACTTTACCTTTTATTTTGTTCTTATCGTTAAAATTTAAAATTTTCAAACTCTTTTTATTAGTTTCCCTTATTATAAATGCTTGAAAACTGATTAAGATTGGTCAGCTGCCTATTAAGACTGGTTGTTTTTAGCTTCTGCCTTCGTCTTGTTAACAACTTTTATTATATTGGCTGACATAATTGGTCTAAAAACAATGTGTCGTATTTGATGATACTGGTTACTTTCTTTAGACAAATGAATAAATTAATGAATACATTCTCTCTCAATTTTCTTTAAAAAAAAATATGTTAGACATTCTACATTTTTAAATTACGTTAGTGATCATTTGATGTACCACATGATGTATACATATTAGGTCAACTAATAAATCTATTTAATTGAATATTAGTTGTATGCATCCATAACACATGAGATAGTAATCATTATAGTTTAAAAATAAGGAAAACTAATGAAAATGGCTTGAAAATTTTGAGTTTTAATGATAAGGACAAAATAAAGGGTAAAGTGAATAGTACCAGGATTGACTTTTTAGTGTAAAAATGTGATTTTTCGTTAAAGTGAACAATACCATGTACTTTTCGTTAAAGTTCCCTTAAAAATAGTCTCCCTAATATTACTTTTCTTTTAATCACCAAAAAGTAGATGAGACCAAAGGTATGTTTACGAGTAATGTTATTCATACCATGTTTTTATACTATATTTTTATATTACATTGGGTAACATCTGATGTTAACAGCTACATCATTTGAATGCAAAACCCAAGGAAAGGAAGGAGAAAGACTTCTCGTATACCACAATCATCATTTAATTAACTAGTTTTTGTTAATTATTAATTTATTAAATACTGAACTAAATTTAAAAATCTGAATAATTCAAATGATATGACTATCAACATCAAATGTCAGTATAAAATTATAATACAAAAACATGATATAAATAATATTACTCGTTTACTAAAGGGGAATGAAACACTGGGAAACGGAATTGCACATTTACCAGTCGTTTTTTTTTAAAACGTCAGGAATTTAAAAAAAAAATAGTGGAACCCGCATAAATCAGGAATCCAACTCCTAAATTGGCCGGAGTCAAATTCTTGGGTGAAATGAGGTATTTGGATTCCTGCAAATGGTGTCCATCAGAATTTAAGTTAACAGTGTCAGGAACGAACCAAGGGATGGTGGTGTTTGCAGCCCTTGCGATGTGATGGCTGGCCATAGAGCTTGCCTTCAAGCCCTTGTTCGACAAGGCCCGCATGGCCGCACCGCCAAGGATAGCTCGACCCGGCTTGCGATCCCGACGAAGACCCAAGAACAAGGAAGATGGTGGTCTCGCAATCAGGAAAGATGGTAGACAGATAAAATTGCAACAAATTACTGGTGCCTGGGGAATGTTAGAGAGGGATGGGTCGGCAGCAGAGAAAGATGGGGAGAGAGAGAAGAAAGTGAACATTTTTTTGTCTACTTTATGCTAGTAAAAAAAAAGTTTTACTAGAAATAAAAAAAAAAATTTATTCTCTCTACCCAAAAAATAAAATAAAAATTTTATTAAAAATAATTAGCATATAAAATAGAGTTTGGTCACATTAGTTTTATTCTGATTCAAGTAGATTAGTAAACAATTTATATAGATCAATATCATTCTTACGTTGATTTCAGACATTAAACAACTTCAATAAGAATTTGATTCTGATTCCATCTCATTTTAATTCTTCCTCATAAATTTAATTCTTTTCAATCTGATTACGGATTAGTAAACGAGTCATAAGTGATATTTGTAGTTGTATTGTTAGCAACTATGGGATGTGTCATGTAGGGTTTGTTTGGAGTTTTAGAATGATTATGCTCAATCAACAATGCAACCATGGCATCTGAAACAATGCCTTGCGACAATACAATTATTATACAACGCAACCATGACATGCATAAACTATTATTCTAGTCATATTGGCTGCAAGATCATTAAAATATCAAATCGCTTAAATAGTAAGTTACTCGAAAATCAATTGATTCGATTGACAAGTACATTGATACTCACAATAATTACATAGACAATCAAATTGATGAGAACAAAAGAACAAAAAAAAAAAACCTATAGACAAGTGATACTGAAAAAAAAAATATTTGAACACATAACCTCATGTGGATACACAAATATACGCTAGAAATTTAATAGTCCTCCTTCGAGGCTACTTGTCTTTTATTTTATACATATCCTTCCTCTTACGGCAAGTTTTTTTAAAGAATATTACTAAGGTTGCTAGACCCAAGGCCAGAGCACTTTTAATGCAGCTTCGGTCTTCATTTTTTTGACATGTAGGCATTGTTAAGAACAACAACAACCAAAAAAATACCTCTACTTGTCCGATTATTTGTAAACTTTGTCATCCAAAATTCCTAACCCTCCACCATTATTTTTTTCTCCCGAAAGAAACAAGGGAAAACCTTCATTATAGGAGGTCATGCAATTAGAAGCCAAACTAAACGTAATCCAAATCCACCATGCTTATCACCGGGCCACATACAGACAGTATTGAGAAGGAACTAATATTTACAGGGGAGCATTTTACCCCTCCCAACACAGGTTCGTGGTAAACCGGAAACATAACCCGCCCTCTCTGCCTTCTTCCTTTCCTCCTGGCAAGACCCCCACTCCATAGCCATATTTCTTTCCAAACCCAGCCATGAAAATCGTAGCTTTTCCGTCGAGATCCTCAATCGCCCTCAAAGCGTAGCCTTTGCAACAGCACCTCCACGTCGCCGGTGCCAAACCCTTCTCCATGCCGCCCATGCCAACTCCTTCAGCTTGACAGTTGCCTCCATCGCCGTTCCACCTTACCTTCAACCAAGAGCATCGTGTATGTCAATTAGTTTTTTTTTGTTTTTTAGTTTTTAGTTTTTATAAAAATTTTGCTTTTTTAAAAAAAAATTTTAATATAAATTTTAATATTAAATATATTAAAAAGTAATGAACATAACCAACCAAAGTTTTCATTATGTTGGTTTTTCCGAGATTTTAATTATAATTTTTGAAACAGTTGGATAAGTGTTGTGTTTTGAGAGAACGGACATTATAGGATAACAAAAATACCACCCTTGTTTTTATCGTGAATTATATAAGAATGGGGCACGTGCAGACCTCATATACGCCTACCCTTCAAAACTAGGACTAATATCCAGAGGATATGTTAAGAATCTTGATGCCGTGCCTGTGATCGTTCCAACACAAAAATTTATATTCAATTTTGATGTCATCGTATATAGGAGTTTTTTCAGCGTATTACCAAAATATAAAGCAGTATCTTATGTATCATAATGTATAAATAAAAATATTTAAAAAATATTTAAAATGAAACATATCAAAATATATCTTCTATTATATTATAACATGTGTTGTCCTCTGTTGTATTTCGAGTTAGCCTAAAGATTCCTCATTGTATTAAATGTTAGGACTCCCTATTATAAATAGCCCGGAAGTCGGTCTAAGCAAGATACTATTTCTGATCCTAAACAGTGGTGTTAACTAGGGACGGAGATCCATGGCAAGCTCTGCTTATGCTAACTTACATGCAATTAATGGGTCTTTTCAAACCCATTTCATATCTCACAGCTTTAATCACCTGAAAACCTCTCTTTCCTTGACTGTTAAGGTCTCTCTCTCTCTCTCTCTCTCTCTCTCTCTCTCTCTCTCTCTCATTTATTAGGGTTATGCTTAAATTGACAATTATTTTCTGAACTTGATTTGAGATTTTGTTCATATTACTTTCTGTTTTTCTAGCCTCTACTCAAAGAGCTGGAGAAATTTTCATTGATAAAGGTGGATGTGTCTAAAAACATGAAAAACGCTTCTGGGAAGTTGTTAGATGCACTCATGAACTCCATGTTCCAATTCGTGGACCAACCATTGCTTCCATCTCAGGTTGGTTGTTTTCACACTTCCATCTTGGTACTAATTTCACTCGGTCACCCAAAAGTATTTAGCCTTGTAAGGTATTTTGAGAATGCAAATCTCACATCAAAAATTTAAGAGACTTTACCAGTGCTTATAAGAAGTTGTTTCTCCCTATATATGCCAATTGATTTCCAACTGAGTCCGATCAAGCTAGAGTTATATTTTCATTTTTTTTCAAGCTTAATTATTAGCTATATTTTTTTGCTAGCTAATTAATCAATTTACAGCTTATGAGACTGCATGGTCGTATTCCCATAATTTACATTTGATGTGGAAATTTATTTTCCAGCATTACATTAATTAGCACTTCACTACCATGGTCGATGCATTTGATATAAATCTATATCACGTTCTTACAGGAAAACTTTGCTCCAGTTGAAGAGATTGGAGACCTTGTTGAGGTCATCTGCACTGAAGGAGAAATTCCCGCTGACTTTTCTGAGGGTGTGTTCATAAGAAACGGTATGTGCAATGGTATAGTCAAGAATTATTTCGATGGGCAGGCTATAAGCTAAAATTATTACTTCGAAATCAAATGCTCAATTTTTTTGTTGGCTACGTAAAGCTATATAATAATAAACTTGAAAGTGGTAATTTGAAGTAAAAAATTTATAGTCTGTTTTCTAGGGGGTGGATTGTCTGCCCTCCCATTTCCATACCATTCCCATCTCCTCTTGTTTGTGTGGTCACAGTTAAGCCACGTCAACATTTTATATTAATTTTTTTATAAAAATAATAAAACAAAAAGTAATAAGAATATAAAATGTTGACGTGACTTAACCATGACCACACAAAACAGGAGGAGATGGGGAGAGTATGAAAATGGGAGGGCAGACAATCCACCTCTGTTTTCTATACTTCTAGCCTTCAAACTTTTAAATGAATAATATAATTAAGGGAACCATATGTGTGGTGTAGAAGTTTTAATTTATTGCTATTAAATTAGTATTGGTTAATATGATGAGTTTATTTAACATTAGTTAACTTTTATTTTCCTAAAAACAGCTCTAAAATACAGACTTTTCCTTTGCTAAGTGGGCTAAGACAATTAAAAATCATAAAATAACCCAAATGACTAGTACTTTTAAGCTTAAAAACTAAAACTCTCCGCTATAGCCTGGAACCTTGTACTTGGCGTATGTGACCTCCAAACACTTTCTTATTGTTGTTTCTTTATTGCCAAAAACTAATTTTCTTATATGTGACGATTAGCGTTAAATAATAATGGCTTGTGACTTAATGTTTGTATTGTTCGTTCTTGACTAATTCCATATTAGCTCAAGTTTTTGAAGTTTAGTGTAACATGGTATCAGAGTTCTCATCATCCGAAATTAGCTTGATATTGCAATTCATAAAATATATATGATCCTCCGATTAAGTTGAAATAATTATTTGCCACTAGACCAAATGAGATCACTATTAACTCAACGTACATATTTTTGTCAGCTTACACTTTCGGGGTCTAGTCCTTATTTAACATATATGTTACATATTTCCAGGAAACAATCCTTTATTTGGAGGTCTGAAATCCGCAGTTTCAATTTTTGGGCAATCAAACCAGACTTGGGTAGACGGAGAAGGAATGCTTCATGCAGTATACTTTAAAAAAGATCCAAATGGAAGTTGGATTGTCTCGTACAAGAACAGATATGTTGAGACAGAAACATTTAAGCTAGAGAAACAAATGAATAACAAGCCATGTTTCTTACCAGTCCTAGAAGGAGATGCTTCAGCAGTTTTAGCAGCGCAGCTTCTAAATGTGGTAGTTATATCGAAAATTACTATTTGTTTGGTGCAAATCATATACATATAACCCTATATCTGCTATTTAAAAAAAAATTGTTTTCTTACGAGATTGTTTCATAAAGTTGTTTTCTGTCATATTGTGACATTTGTTAGACAATAAGTCTCGCAAGAAAACATTACTTGTGATTTAGAACTATAATATATGCATCCTTATACGCAGACTATATAATTAAGTTTGTTTTTCTTCTGTAAAATCTCGCAGTTGAGATTTGGCACAGTCAATAAATACTTTAGCAACACCAATGTTTTTGAGCACTCAGGAAGGGTTTACTCGATTACAGAGGATCACCTGCCTCAAGAGGTGGACATCTCAACCTTAGAAACTCTTTCTGATTGGGATGTCAATGGTGCTTGGGATCGACCTTTCACTAGCCATCCAAAGGTTTTTTCGTTTCTCCTATGTATTTTCCCATTTACATATACATATATATATGTGTGTGTGTGTGTGTGTGTGTATAGTATTTAATTTGCCTAAAATAGTTAATTATTAATCTTGATTTTAATATGCAATGCAGAAAGCTCCAGGTTCCGGAGAGTTAGTCATGATGGGGACAGCTGCAAAGAAACCTTACTATGTTCTGGGGGTTATTTCTGGTATTTAATGAATTGGTTTGATTTGTAACTACATTGTGTTATTTATATATGTTGGAGTTTAAACATGTAATTAATTGGTTTTACTGTTATTTCAGCTGATGGAAAGAAATTGCACAAGGCTGATCTCAAATTCAAAAGAAGCGTCCTCAGCCATGATATAGGAGTCACGCAGAAGTAAGTGCTATAAAACTATAAATTGACGTTCCCCCACCCCCAGAAAAATAAGAGCCAAATATCAATCCTGCAAATTATTAATTACTTTCTATTATAAATACTGATTAAATTGTAAATTTATAACCCTTTTTGTTTGCTGTTCTCTTGGCACCAGGTACAATGTAATCATTGATCACCCCCTTACCATGGATATAAAGAGACTTGTCATGGGTGGCCCGTAAGTAAAAATACATGTCTGGTTTAGTGGCATTCAAGTATTATATGTATATGTTCTGAATTTAAATCTTGTAAGAATTGTTGAATTTAAAAAGAAGTAATATAGCTGTTCTTGTGATATTTTTAATGTGCTCATGTTATATATTTACACATTTATGTGCATATAGATTAATGAAGTATGAAACGGAAGGGTATGCGAGGATTGGAGTGATGCCACGTTATGGTAATGCAGAGTCAGTCAAATGGTTTGTGGTACAAACCAATTGCACATTTCACTTTCTCAATTGCTTTGAGGAGGACAATGAGGTAATTAATTAATTAAAACTATAGTGAACTTAATTACAGGATGATCAAGATTAAAATTTATTAATATTTACCGTGTTATATATAGTTTATATTTATTGATAAATAAATAATTGCACAGGTTGTTGTGGTGAGGGGATGTAGGGCTCTCACATCTCTCATACCAGGTCCTGATGAACGAGTTGGTAATTTTGGTAACAAGTTTGAGTGGTTCTCCAAGGGGTTCAATTTTGCACATCATGATGATTCTGCGGCAGATGATGATGCTGGAACCGGATATTTCTTTGCTCGTGTATATGAATGGAGACTGAACATGGTGTCTGGGGAAGTTGAGGAGGAGAAAAATTTAACTGGAACTGAATTTGCCATGGAATTTCCTTTTATCAACGAACGATACACTGGTTTAAAACACAAGTATGGTTATACTCAAGTCATTGATTCTGTGGCAAGCTCTAACTCTGGTAATTAACGAAAATATAAACTTTACTTGATTCTCAAATTGTTGATGATTTTAAATATTATTGACTTGATATTTATTACTTTGTATTAGGCTTGGGTAAATTTGGAGCTCTAGCAAAATTATATTTGGATGATCAATCACATTCCACACCATCTGGGGTAACGAATTCATATTTCGTTTTAGTTTACAGTTTTTTTTTAGTCAAATAATCTAAGGCTCAATTTGGGTGAGAGATTTCTAGGTGCCAAATGGGATGGGCATCAACTTAGTAAGGAATGATTGATCCAGAAAATGTTCGAGAGAGGGATATTAGGATTGCCCTTCATGACATGAGCATTGCAAATTAATGCATGTAAGAACGCTTCGTAGAATATAGATATATAAAACATCTATAGCAGAAGTTGCTAATTTTTTTTTACTTTACATCTTTAAGTCGGGGAGGCCATAAGGCTTCCCCAATTAGACAAAAGATTATTTACCTTAATTCCATATTTCTGTGCGAGGTGCAAACTGGAAGCTAAAACCAAATTAGCTTCTCCCAATTCCCATTGTCTTTGACCTAAAGAAAAACCCTTCTCCCATTGAACATACTCTTAAAAGGCATGACCCCAACAATTTATGAGACTTAGCTTTTGTCCTTATCTCAACAGGAATCCCTTACGTTTTTGTGATTGTTCATATTTATATTTGTGATACTGATAATAATAGGATCAGGAGGAAAGATGTAGCGATCAGCAGTGGATAAAGGTGGAATACCATAAGTTTGAGGAGAACAACTTTTGCAGTGGAAGCGTTTTTGTGCCTAGACATGGAGGCATAGAGGAAGATGATGGTTGGATTGTCACTTTCGTCCACAATGAAAACACTCATGTAACCCAAGTGAGTTCTGACCCAATTGTAACTTTGTTTTTCTGTATCACATATATATATATATATATATAAACAATTATATATCTTGCTGATGCAGGTTCATGTAATTGATGCAATGAAGTTTCAGAGTGAACCGATTGTGAAAATCACATTGCCACAGAGGGTGCCATATGGTTTCCATGGGACTTTTGTGTCAATGCTTAATTAGTCAATATTAGTATTAGGCATGGCATAGCTTCACAGAGTCCCATGCATATTCATACTCTCTAGTCTAAGGAAACTTCGCCAATACAAAGGACTGAAACAGAAAAAGAAAATTACACTTAGTCGGGGACATAAACTTTGTACTTAGTCCTGTGCACATGTGACAGGTGACAGGTTTCATTAGATTAGAGACTCTGGCAGTCAAGTTTGTTAAAGTTCTCATATTGTGAGTGAAAGATAAGAGTGGTTAGTCTTGTTATTAAGGAGTACTGTGGTTAACAAGCATACGTTCCTTTGTACGTAATTGTATCTGTAAGCATCTTCCTATGCACATGGAAATCATCAGTTTATCTCTATGTTTCAATCTCTCTATGTTGTCTCTTTCTAATTTAACATGGTAGAGCCGGGTTTCTCTCTGTAATTGTATGGTAATCATCTTCTTTTGTATAATGAAATCAGCCTCTCTCTATGCCTCTCTTAACAAAACGTACGTTAATCAGCTGAAGAATTTCTTTAATGAGTCAATGACAGCAGATAAAAATAATAATTAGTTGTTGATAGAGGTATGTGTTGATCACATTAATCCGACCTACCCCTCATCAAATGCTCCCAACCGTATCTTGCTACAATATTGTTTCACCGTTCCACCTTCACCTAATATGGATATAGCAATCAAAACGAACCACCAGCAATATGTTGGCTTATAGATCTTATACAAGCCTTTTCTGTTACCCAAATTAATGTTTATGGGATAAGGACGGTGGGGTTGGAACTTGGAAGAGGAAATTCATTAAAGGAAAGTTAGCAACTATGTATTGGATCCTACCTACAGATTTTCCAAATCAAAGTATAGTATATATATAGTCATTGATATCTCTAGCATTAAAGAAAAATTAGAAAGTACATAATACATCTACCTTTCTAAATTTTTATGTCTAGCGAGCCTTCCTGCTAATTGCTATAAACCCTAATTCCCTGGATTCCATGGCAAGAAATCTGTCTTTGGCTTCCTAGATGTAGAAGAAAGTGACGCAATAGAAGACTCCCCCAATGACCTCCCCGACAATGATCACCAAGTCATGTGTGACTTAGGTCTCCAACTGATAATTGGCAGCCCCTTCAATGTATTCTATCCCCCACACTACAATACTTACCCTAATGCCACCCCCAAGCCCCGAGTCCCCATGGACCCTCTCCCCACTCCAAACTCCATCCCCTTCACTTCTCTACCACTGCGCATCGCCTCACCCCACCACCGCAAAGGCACCATCTACAGCCTACTCCATTGCAATTTCAAGGCGGCATGGAGTAGGCTTTACTGGCTCCAAGAGTACCCAAATCTGCGCATGGAGGCAACCAGACTACATGGAGTTTGGATGCCTCCAGGCGACTCCAGCTGAAATAAGAAGCATTTTGGCTTATAGTAACATGCTTTTCACCACACGCAAAGATCAAAAATCAGAATATGGAATACAGCCTCGGACAATTTTAAATCCAAAAAGTTTTCCTCCATTTCCAAGAAAAAAAAGGCTTGTTTCCTTTATTTTCAGAAACCAACAAAAACCTAAAACACAAAGAATGTGTTTCCTACTTAGCATATTTATTGTCATGCAGAAGGTTTGATATACATCGGCTTACAGGACACAACAGTTAAACCCTGGAGAATTTTAACCGAGAACTGCGTGGACTCGTTTGTGGCACATGAACTGCAATTATGGTGAACCGATGATGGATGTGTCTTCACTTGCTCCTCTGATGGGTCAGTAAAAATTTGGAAAAGAGTTTTGGGGGAAAAACTCTCAAACTCTCACCATGACTGAAATTCCCCATAAACGCTATAGCCCCAAACACTTCATCACTTAACTCTAGTTGCTTCCTCTACTCTGGATCTTCAGATGGAATCATTCATTTTTGGAAGAAGGAGAAGTTGCCTGTAGATTTAACCATGGTGGGGTTTTAAAGGGTCACACGTTTGCGGTGCTTTGCCTAGTGGTTGTGGAGGAGTTGATATTTAGTGGGTCAGAGGATACAACAATTAGGGTTTGGAGAAGAGAGGAAGGGAATTGCTTATGAGTGTTTGGCTGTGTTTGATGGGCATAGAGGGCCTGTCAGGTGTTTGGCTCCTTGTTTAGAGATGGACAAAATTGTAATGAGGTTTTTGGTTTATGGTGCAAGTTTGGACCAGAGTTTTAAGGTCTGGCGTGGGATTGAACTATAGGGACAGGAGTTTATCTAACCCTGTTTTGTCTCCTTCATGGGTTGAGAGGAAGCTGCTTCAAAGGTATTTATTTTCAGTAGGTCATAAAGTATCAGAATAATCAATAATTTCTGTAGCTGCACGCAACCTTTTTATTTTATACCAAGAATGATTATGAAAAACATATTTTCCATGCACTTTGTGTATTTGATCTTTGTTATTTTAACTAAGTCTTAGAGAAACTACTAGAAGTATATAGAGCCCACTGGTCCGACAAATCTTCATTAACAATTACACCGACATGCAGTATTATAGTATTCTCTAAAATTTGATCATGTATTCTCTAAATTTCGACCATGATTGAAGATATTACCATTCCTATTGTTATCAGCCATTTATATTGATTAATTTGCGCATTGAGATAATTAGCACGAATGATGCTTACTGCAATTAGTATTGTCATAATTTTGGGTAGCTAAATTAAAATTTCATAAGCAATGATTCCAACAATGTGTACCAACCCATTCATCGCTGTTACTTCCTGACTTCTTTTTTTTTTTCAGCCACTCCAATGCCCATACTGCCACAATGAACAAGGAGATTTGTGAAGCTTCAGCTTGGTCCACAAAGAAAGGAGGGAAAGACTCGAAATTTTTTACATTAGTTTGAGAATAATGCTACAATTTTGTTGCTTATGCGTGCATGAATGAAAATGTGTAAATATATAAAATTGCTTTGGGGTTGAATTATTGAGTTACCCACCCACCAAATACAATAGTTACATAACAAGCAGAGCTGCAGATTAACCTAACAAAGCAGCTTCCGCTGTAGGAATTGGGAGATGAGCTTGCCCGATAATGAAGAAATTTTCATAAATGAACCCAGCAAGTCCACCGCCAATCAGAGGACCAACCCAATAAACCCAATGGTCAGTCCAATTCCAGCTTACCAAAGCAGGACCAAAGGACCTCGCTGGGTTCATTGAAGCTCCTGAGAAGGCTCCTCCAGCTAGGATGTTGGCGCCGACAACAAATCCAGTTAATGTAGGGCCTAATCCATTAAGAGATCCTCTTTTGTCGACAATTGTAGCATAGACTGTGAATAGCAAGGAGAATGTGAGGACAATCTCCCATATCACACCTTCTAAATAGCCCACCCCACTTGCAAGTGAATGAATTGGAGTAGTCTGCCAAAAAAATAACAATTCAATTATGTGACATGTAACATGACCATATAAATGAGATTCATGATGAATTTAGATTTGAATAACTACAGCGTGATGAAAAATTCTAAACATACCAATCCACTGAGGTACTCTAGAAGGTAACAAGCTGCAGCAGCTGCTAACAATTGATCGATCCAGTAGAGTATAGATCGGAAGAGGGTAATATGACCACCAAACAGGAGGCCAAGAGTGACGGCAGGGTTAAGGTGACCGCCAGATATGTGGCCGGCGGATATCATCACGGCCACAACTAGTGCATGTGTCACAGCTACGGCAAACAACCCCACTAGTGCATCTGCTGCTAGCTTATCTGCCCCACCACAACTCAGACGGTTACCATATACATAATATAACCAAAAATACATGACTAGTAATCATGTAGTAAACGACAGAGAAATTATGATCTTGGATCTGTGTCCATGATAGTGATGATGAACTACCAAACCCAAACATATTAGTGATTAAACATTAAATATTCGATATAAGAGTTTTGGTCATTAATCAACGAGAGGTTTTTCCAAGTACTCGGTATTTCACGTGTAGGGTGATTAATTAATAGTTGGAGAGATTATATATTTCCTCGTTTCTCTTTGAAATTATCTTAATGAACAATTCATGTGGTTTATATGAGATTTGAAATCAGAGATGTTTTCATTAAATGGAATATTTGTAGGTCACGAGACTAAATGGTTATTGAAAGACTGTAAAGGATAAAGCAATGGCATATAATTAATTGGGTGTGTGTGTATAAATTACCAGTAGCCATGGCTGATGCAACACCAGCAAAGACGAAGAGGAAGGTAGTGATAAACTCAACCACAAGAGCTCTCCAGACTTCTGGAAGGGCACCCTCACCGGTGGTTCCCAAGGCTATTTTCGCCATTATATGCTCTGGCCTATAGGGTCTCTCGACTTTGCAGTTGCTAGGACAATGAAAATGTATACACTATTTATAAGGATATCAACATTGACGAACCAGATTATATATATGTATATATGCGTATCTAGCTGGGTCCAATAATATAACTATTGAGTGCTTCAGACGTTCTCCAATTATCAAGCAAGCCAGATATGACAATATAGCTAGTCCAATTTCAGTACTATTGGAAATTTGAATGGTAACTTTACCTTGTTTGGCATCAAGATCAGAAAGGAGATACGATATCTTTGTATATAAATTATTTTGTAAACAAGGATCATCGTCCTCTTCTTTTAAAAAATTAAAATCTTGGAAGGGATTTGTGTTGAAAAAAAAATTAATTAGTTAACTAATTGGTCTATTATTGTTTACTTTAAGGTACAATGGTATTTGATGTCTTACATTATGTTTGGATGATGGAAATAAATTTGAGATTTTAACAAAAGTCAGAATTTATAAATTGATATACACCAAATCCTTTGTTTGGATTCATACACATATAAATTTGGAATTTCCTGGTGGAAAAAGAACTTGGAATTTGGGACCTACAATTCTCAAGTTTAAATTCTATGTAAATAGATGTCATTTTCCAATTTCTATGAGTGAGAGTTTAAAAATAACAATTTATGTATTCAAATTCCGTTGTTTTTTTAGGTTAACCAAACAAGAAAATTTACAAATTCTAGATAACAAAATTCCGTCATTTTGAAATTCTTTAGTAATCTTAAATTTCCTCATCCAAGGATTAAACTTGTGTTCCTTACCCATAAGGATTAAAGTTTACAAATAATGTTCTAATTTGTTTTAGGATTAGTTCTCAATTTATAAATACACTTTTTGTAACTCGTAAAAGATAATATGGCAAAATGTAGTACTATGATAATGTAGCCGTCTATGCACATGAAAAAAACCTTAGTAACACATTCATGTAATTGTAGCCAAAACTAAAAAGCTATATTAGTGTGCTATTCCACCTTCTACTCCCTAATTTGTTTTCTCGGTTTGCAGTGTGTTTCTTCTGTAACTCTTAAGCATAAAAAATAGGGTTTGAGTTTTGATAGTGCCATGCACCAACCCTCTGTGATCCCATCATCCGAAAAGCCGAGATTAATGGATAAAAGTTAAAACAATTGCGATATTCTAATATTATTAGTGTCCTCTGAGTGTGCACTTTGTGTCCTCTTCTTCCATATATGCATTTCCTTTACGTGATTATATATATTATATATGGCCAACTGACATTAAATAAATAGTAAAATAGTTTCAATTATTGATGGTTTCAAGGATTATTTTTGTTGCATTATCCTTTAGTGAACATTAATTTCGATCGTAAATATGAACTGATACTATATATATATGTTAGTTATCAGCGGAAACTTAGGCTTATTCAGTTATTCACATAATTATGTAAAAGGTTTATCTACCAAAAGTTCAAAATTATATACTATAATAACATTGCTGTCTGTGCAGCTGTGGCCAAACTATATAGATAATTTGCAAGAAAATGAACTATTAAATAAACGTTCATTAAACCAAAGGGATATACACAAAGGCCACCTCCAAAGACCCAAGCCGAATGCTAACATAACCCTGACCCATACACAACCCTAATGCAGAAAAAAAAAGACACAAAAAAGCAAAATTCCCAGCTGAAGGAGGCCGACGGTACCCGCCGCGGTAACCCCATGTAAATCAGCCAGCCAACCCCAAGTTGCCAGAATCGCCCAATTTCCCTCACAACCCTAGCCATCCTGATGAACATCTCTTAAGTAGCCATGTAGTTTTAGCATTACGGCAAAACGAAGTTTTAAACTCATTATTATTAAGGGAGGACCAAAACTACTACAATAACTTAAAAGAAGATTTAAACTCAGAACGCATAAGAATCAAGCATTATGTCTATTAGAATATTAAGGACTCATTTGGTAAGTGCTTTTAAATGACTGAAAGCACTTTTTAGATAAAATGTTTTTGAGTTTCAAAAGTACTTGAAGCGCTTTATGCTAAAAGCACCAGTTATGTGCTTCTTGTTGTAAGCACTTAAAGTGATTTTCCAGATTCAACTTGCATTTTTACTAGAGTTTGATTTCAAAAATATTTTGAGTAATGTTATTCATACCATGTTTTTATACCACATTAGGTGGCATCTGATGTGCACAACCACATCATTTAAAAAATTTGCAAAACCCAAGGAAATGAAGGAGAAAGACTCCTCGTATACCACAATTATCATTTAATTAATTAGTTTTTCTTCATTATTAGTTTATTAAATAAGGAAAACTAATGAAAATGGTTTGAAAACTTTGAGTTTTAACGATAAGGACAAAATAAAAGGTAAAGTGAAGAGTATCATGATTGACTTTTTAGTGTAAAAATGTGGTTTTTCGTTAAAGTAAACAGTACCGGGAGCTTTTCGTTAAAGTTTTCTATTTAATAATGAACTAAATTTTAAAATATGAATAATTCAAATGATGTGGTTGTCCATATCAAATGTCATCTAAGGTGATATAAAAATGTAGTACAAAAACATGATTTGAATAACATTACTTAAATATTTTACCTAAAAACGATTTTAGTTGTTTAGAAACACTTGTCAAACGAGCTATAAACCACGTATTGAAACTTTTGAAATGAAAATATTTCTATTAGAAGTTGGACCAAAATCCAAGTCATTAAAAAAACAAATGGGTCCATCATTAGCACATGCAAGGCCCAATTACAATCTCTCCAGCATGCAGATAACTCAGAGTGAGCGGGATAGAGTGTGGTGCAGAAGAAAGGGAACCAAAAAATGTCATCTTTATCGGCTACTCTGAATCTCTTAAGACCCTCTCTGGCTCCATCGCCACCGTCCGTGAGGTTTTTTGGTGTGCGAAACTCTGCCTCTTCTTATTCTACTTCTCGGAGACTCACTCTCTTTCAACTCGGCTCTGGTAATTACTTCCTCCAAAGTATCAAAAACCCATGTTTGTTTTCCATTACATTTTGTGTTTGTGAAATTTGTATTGATTAATTGTGGGTTGTTTTGGTTTTATAATTTTATAATGTAGCAATAGAATTTAACTCAAATGTGCAATGTATATGTGTTATGCTGAGTTCTGGGTTGAATAATGTATGATATAGCAGAGTGGAAATTTTTTGCTTCATTTTTTTCTTCTTGGGCAAAATCAATGTAGTTATATCAAATTTCGTAATGCGGTTTTCGTGAAGATTAAGAAAATTCAAATTATACGAAAGCTTTAGTTTAACTGTTATAATTCTGAAGATACATTGCCTTTGCATAAGTTCCTACATCAAAAAGAAAACCTTTAAATTAATTCCAATATAAAAATAAATAAAAGCTGTGACCTTTACATGATTCAGCATAAATTAATTTGTATAATGCTTCACCTTTGCAAAAAATTTACCCCTGTTTTTCATTTATTTTGTCTACTTTTAATCAAGTTAAGAATTTTAACAAAGATTTTGGGGCACTCGGTTTAATTAAATTTACATTTTGATTAACTAAATATATCAGTTGGTTATAATATGCCTTGCGCTTATGATTTGGGGTGGTTTTCCAGCTCTGCCTCAATCACAACTGTTAGGTGCAAAAGCATCTGAGTTGCTAAGAGGAGAGGGAAACCCTTCAGAGGCTGCCCCAGTTGCGAATTTGGCACAGGCAGGCACCGCTATTGCCAAGGAAAATGCACTGGAGTGGGTAAAAAATGACAAAAGAAGAATGCTTCATGTTGTCTATCGTGTTGGGGACTTGGACAAGACTATAAAGTATGCGTCTATTTAGTAGAAGAAATATTGATTCCGTATCGCGTAGTTCTTTGGACAAGACTATAATCTTTTGTGATGCAGATTCTATACTGAATGTTTGGGGATGAAGCTGTTAAGAAAACGTGACATACCTGAGGATCGATATTCGAATGCTTTTCTTGGATATGGACCAGAAGAATCCAATTTTGTGGTTGAACTTACATACAGTAAGTATTTTATAAGTAATTCTGTGTAATTCAAGATTATTTTGTAGTTTAATAGAAATACTTTTTATATTGTATGCTTTCATATGAATGTGAAATTGCATTATGTTATACTCGTAGATTACGGAGTGGACAAGTACAACATTGGGACTGGTTTTGGCCATTTTGGCATTGCACTTGAAGATGTAAGTTCTTTTTTTCTTAATATCGCTGTGGTTTTTCTCTCATGACAAACTACTCTTATTTGTGCGTTTTCTTGGTTTGGATTTTTAATTCATTGTCCATCTACTGAACTATAAAACCAATGAATTTTACTTACAATTATAAGCAATACTCTTCTCAGCTTTAACTTTTAAGCTGAATGAATTCATTGTCTATCTTTTTACCTTCTGCCCTTCTCTTTTGTCTTTTCAACATCCCTACTCTTCAGAAGCTTTGGAGCATTATCTCTTACAATTTTCATTTCTTATCCATAATGTTTTATATGCCAATTTTTTTTTTCTTTAAGTTACGCAAGTTTTTTGTAGGTAACCAAAACCGTGGAACTTATAAAGGCAAAGGGAGGGAAAGTTACCGAGGAACCTGGTCCTGCTAAAGGTGGCAGCACAATAGTTGCCTCTGTTGAGGATCCCGATGGCTACACGTTTGAGCTTTTGGAGAGAGGGCCTTCACCTGAGCCCTTCCGTCAAGTGATGCTTCGTGTAGGTGATCTTGACCGTGCTATTAACTTTTATAAGAAGGTGAGATGTCTTAAACGAATTTCTTTTATTTTTTAAATATTTGTTCCTGGTTCGGCTTTTTATAGGTAAGCTTTCCTGAAGCTTTGACCATTGTGTTTTTTTTTTTTTAACATGAAGGCTTATGGGATGGAACTTCTCCACAAGAGAGATAATCCTGAATACAAGGTAACTTCACACATGCGACCCACTGACAAATTCCCTGATAGGCTGATAGGCAGGATACCCTTGGAATAATAGAAATTGTGACGGAAACATGCCATCGCAAATTTGCCATTTATGTGGCTGTTTGTGTAGGAGTGATATGGGCATGAAGACCCTTATGAATTGATGTAGTGCCCGTACATAGTGATACCACTTTGTATTTAGAGGCCATCTTTTGTGAGCTGTCTGTTCATTATTTTCACAATGCTTCTTGCTTCCTGGATTCTGGGTACATGGCAGTAGTTGTGTACTGAAGGCATCCCATAACATACCTTCTTGCTGGATTATGATTTTGAGCCTGCTACTCTACCTACCTAATAGCTGGTTCTGCTTGTTTACCAGTGTACTGTTGCCGTGTTGGGCTACGGTCCTGAAGATAAGAACGCAGTGCTTGAACTGACGTACAACTATGGGATCACAGATTATGACAAAGGAAATGGTTACGCGCAGGTATTTACAAGATATTTTATTTCTCAAAGCACTGATATGAGCTATACCAGTCTGCTCACCAATTTCCATGTTATTATACGAAGAATACTAAATCTGCATCCCAAATTGTAACAGATCGCAATAGGCACAGATGATGTTTACAAGACTGCAGAAGCAATCAAACTAAGTGGAGGGAAGATTATTCTTGATCCTGGGCCTTTGCCAGGCATCAACACAAAGATAACTGCTTGCCTCGACCCTGATGGCTGGAAATCGGTATGTCCTGTCCAATTTAGTTGCATTTTTTCTTAGTCGGTAGTTCTGGTACCAATTAGAGTGCAAAATTCAGTATTGAAATAGCACATTGGTGTTATGTCATATTCGTACCTTTTATCATGAATCATTATCATATTTTAAAGCAAACGATCCGATTTTTTTGGCCTCCCCAATTTGCAGGTCTTTGTTGATAATGCTGATTTTCTGAAGGAATTAGAGTGAAGAAAAGCATCACCAACAGCTCAAAAATTGAGCCCGTGGAAGATTTGTAACAATTTTGACTGTACATTATCCTAACCTCGTTATCTTGAAGCAGCCATGAGAGAACATATTAAAACCAAACTTGTAGATGCATTACTTTGTATAAGATAGTAACAGTTGTTATAAGTTCCATTCTTTCCCACCGAAACGTAGATATAGAATTGGATTCTGAGATAACTGCACGTTGATTGTTGTGAAAAACTTAACACGTTCAATTTTACATAAATCCAAATTTTAACCTTTCTTGGAATTGTGTTATGTTGGCATGAAATTCAACATATGACGGATCCCTTCAGTCCACATATGTTTGTCACCTTGACTTCTGCATTCAAATTCTATTGTCCTTTCAGCTGTTTTTATCCCAAAGTATGCCCTTGGTTTGCTGCCGTCTTCTCTTTCCCTGCCGGGCCAAGCTGGGATGTCACAGTAGACTCCAGAGACCACACCTGTATGCATCACAGCGTGGCATCACGGTTGACAGGATAGAAGTCAATGTAAAATGTTTGCTCTAGGTATGAGAATTTTCTTACATTTCTTCTTTTTCGTAAATGTTCCCGCCATATGCTTGCTTTTCATTTTGGCTACAACCTGTTATTATTCCATTTCTGAATAAGTATCTGGTGATGCTGTTTTAGAAATATTAGGTCTATAACTAATCAGTAAATCTTCAACTTAGAAGTTGATACTTTTTTCCAAATTTTCGTGTATCGGGTATTTTACCTGCCCATTTGAGTTAGTATTGAAAGAAACCCTCTTCCAGTGAAGAGCACCTGCATTCATAAGTTACATGATGGTGAGTTCAACTTATCCATGAAGTTATTTAGCTGAATTCATTATTGCTGCATTAGCGTATCTTAATAATGCCGTTTGTTTACCTTTCCTCGTACGTTTAAGGAGCTCCCCACCCTTTGAGACAAAGTTCAATGCTGCATTTGATTGGTTGCCTTCACATCTCTCCTCGGCCAGAGCAACAGTTGTGCCACCATACTCCTTTTGCAGCCTCACTTTAAGTGTGGCAGCTCCGCGTAAAGCTGCGCATTGATCATAGACTGCTTTAGCTAATTCAATCAAGTTTAGCCATTGCTAATATGTTTTAAACTAGTATGCGCTTAGCTTTATTGAGTTCTGCGTTTGATTAGCTTAAAATTTGGTTGAATATACGTTTAAAACGATGGAATTTAGTACATCTTGTAGAGTCTTAGTGTACCTGTAGCTGCTCCTGCAGTTAAGGTCATGATATCTCCATTAGTCCTTGCATTAACTGCAGAACTGACAACTGATAGAATATGATCATGCTCAGCTCCCATTTCCTCCGCAATCTCAATGCAACGCGAAGCGACTAGAGCTGCTGCGGATGCTAGCGCAGCTGATGTTTCCGTCCTCAATTCGGATACTGGTGTTTTCTGGTGGGCAGCTGATGTTTCAGGAAATACAGTTGAAGCTGCAATTGATGCTACAGCAGCAGCAACCCCAGCCACAGAAACAGCAGCGTGCAACTGCGCATTTTGGGTTCGGATTTCATGCTTCTTCCTCTCCTTCTGATCTTTTAACCATCTGCCCATTGTTTTCCCTCGCAAAATGCTCTTGTATAGCTGCAGGGATACAACAATGAGGAATTGAAAAATTACGACGACAAATGATTTTCGGACACCCTCTTTCCCTCTGCCCGTATTTGCATTCTGGCATTTCGATTGAATTAATCAAAAGAGAATCAAGGGTCATAAATAAAGAGGCCCGCGGAAATCACAATTACGCTTCAGGAATTTCATGTACATGATAAGTTGAGTGGTGCAAACTGAAGTTACCCCATGATTGAGAAATTGTTGCTGGCTGGAAAGGAAGTCTGGGTGGAGTGCTTGGTGTAGTAAAAGTAACTCCTGCACATATTAACCGGCCTAAAACAGTAAAAGCTCCTGCCTCTGATTGTGCCCCAGTATACAATATTTAAATCGAAAAAGAAGCTTTTTGTAATCGAGTATCAGTAACTTAGCATATATGATAAAATAGTAGGTACGAAATTATAGATTTGGTTTAAAATCATGCACTCGTGCACATATACACATGATGATGATTCTGCACTCCCAAATCAAATTTCATAAATAATACAACCTCCAAGCAAACATTCATCAATTGTACGCGTTATTTGGTCTAGCAGCACCTAAGTTTTTTCTTTGTTAGACGAGGTCATATTTCATCAACTAAATCTCATAAACGATAGTTAATAACTATTCACAAGTTAGCCCTCAAAATTCATAGATATAAAAAACACTTAAAATCACATTTTATAGGGAAAAACTTGGAATATTAGTTGTTATTATATCCGAATACTATTAATTGTCAGAAGCATAAAACAATTATGTCGTCTACTCATATCATATTAAGTAGTGGTTATATCAAGTGCATGTGTTATAGTACTAGACAATCATTTTTCAAGAGAGAGAGTGAGAGTACCTTCATCTCTTCACTGTCTCTTGGCGAAACTGGAGGGCTAACTCCACTGGGTAACTGCTGAAGCAGCCAAGATGTTCATAAGATCACATCTAACACAAATATAGATTATAGCATAATTTGCTAAGTATAATTAAGAAACTAATTAACTTACAGATTCCATTAAACGCATGGCACTTCTGTCGTGTGATTCAACACCATCATCAGAACTGAACGCTGACTTGTCAAGGGTCTTGGAAGCAACGTTCACACGTGTGTGGGAAAGAGCTTTGGAGATCTCCATGGCTGAGAGACTCCACGATCTGGCCAGAAACTCCATCGACTCCGTTGGAGTTTCTGGCGGCGGCGCCGACGACCCCTCTGTTCCGCTCACTATACCTCCATTTTCATCTATGTTCTCCAGCACGCCATGCAGTAGTCCGTTTGTTGAGCATTTCAAACTGCAGGAGCTCACTATCACCAAAACACACAGAGTTAGATTACACCAGTCATTATTTAAATAAATAAATAAATAAATATTATGAAGTTTTTGTTTTCTTACTTTTGAAGCCAAATAAATATTTTCATTCAGTGATGACTCATCGGAAAAGCTCTGGTATTGGGAGCATCTCAGTTGAGCTATGAAAGCAAGAGTGAATGAATGAGATGATGAAGAGGAGGGTGTACTATGCAGTACCTATTTAACATGGCTTAGCAAAAGTAAGTTGCATGCTTTTTTTATTGAAAAATACTTGACTTCTCACGGCAATAAGGCTAGTAATATTTTATGGCACGGAAGTTGAGTGGTAAAAAATAACGAGTGCAAAAAAGTGAAAATGAGAATCTTTCGTTGGATGTGCAAACACATGATGATGAATAAGATTAAGAATGAGGATATTCGAGGTAAAGTAGGAGTGGCCGCAATTGAAGATAAGATGAGAGAAAACTGGTTAAGGTGGTTTGGCCACGTGAACCGAAGATCGACAGATGCTCTAATTAGAAGATACGACTATGAGACAGATGCTCGGGATAAAAAGGACAGAGGAAGACCTGGAAAAACTTGGAAAGAAACTTTAAAAAAAATTATAGAGCATCTGAGCTAATGAAAGATAGATAAGGTACAAAACATAATGAGATAAGGCTTGATTCATGTTGTTGTTTGTGTTAGCAAGTGGCTTCAATATACATATCAATTCTCGATTTGCAATAACAAATGAATGACTCCATTACACGTTAGGAATGGACATTTCTTCCTTGCAGACAAATAGTAATTTGACGAGTGTATATCTTTTTTTTCTTTTTGTGTTACTATATGACTTCAGTAAACATGTCAATTTTGATTTGTAATTACGGATTGATGACTATTCAGCTAAAAGAAGCCAAACAATGTTCTTATTTGTTGTGAAAAATGTTACTAATTTATTAGCAATTTTAATATTGTATTAAAAAAAAATTCAACCACTCGTAATAAAATCGACGCAGATAAAATATAAAGTGTAAAAATCATTTCCCTGCAAATTCAAATGGACACAAATAAAGCTGAATAATATTCATCTTTTGTCGCCACTTCATTATTCCTTCTCCTTTTCCTCAACTCAGTGCTTTATTATACATAAATAGGTAAAGATCCATTTTCAGAGCGGCCATTGTTCATCATTACCAGAGTTTCCTTTTGTCACCATTATCTACGTCTTAAAGTTATATACGGGGCTGACGGGCCCTTGGCAATACAGTGCCCTCTAGACTTCGAGTACAATTTATATGATATAAATATATTATCTCATAATGTTCTGTGTAATAAAATAAAATTATATAAACGAAAATTTACGTATATTTTTATTTTATTGATATAAAACGTCAGCGGTACACACGTGTCCATTCTCCTGAATTTGTGGGATCCATGGGCCATGGCTGCCACGTCCACTAAGCCTATAATCATGAAATCTATGGAATATTCGACCAAAATATATTATGCATGAAATCTAACAAATGTGTGCCCTACGTTAAGGTTTAAAGTAAGTCTGTATAAAGCTGCTTCTTCACTTTCTCTTATATATAACTTTTCTAGTCAAAACAATAAAACCAAAACGCTTTTACTGTTTCCGAGTAGCGTAAAGGGTTCTTTCTACAAGAAATTGTTCGGTGGAACTGTCACACAAACGTAAAATACTGCAATCCACTGATATGATAACATGTAATCGATTTACTAGTTTAATACTCTTAAAGTCTAAACACACAAATCTATCATCCATTTGCATTATAAGACATGAACTAATAACAAGACGCTACCACAATCACACCCGTGTTTCATTTTTGTACTTCCACTCCAACAACCCTAGAAGGCTAGAACTTCACCATCACAGTAGTGGTGGCATAACTTAATAGTTTCAAGACCCACGCACCAAGAGCAATTGGCATCAGTTTAAGATCCAACTTGTATCATTACTTGGAGCCTAATCATGTCTCGGTTGTGACTTGTGACAGTGAGGACCAACAATTCCGAGGTCCCCCACTCCTACATCCAATAATTTATTTAAAATTCGTGATTAATTATCTAAATCCAAATAATCATACCCCCTAATCTCTCAGCCTTACGAGGCTGATACACTTGCAATTTCCGACCTATAAAAATTAAAAGTGGCAATTAACAAATACAAAGGGTTATAGAATACCACAAGAAGTCCAGCAACAAAGAGGAGAGACAAAATTTAGCCTTGTAGAATGGATGGAGAAAAACATCTTTCAGACATTTGTATTTATGTGATGTAAGAAAATGCATCGTAAGTTCATAACTACGATTGGCATCGGAGGAATTAGGGTTCGTTACTGCTTCAAATTATGGACTGCTTAAAGCTTCTAAACACAAAGCTCGAAGGATTTAACGAACAATAGAAAGATCTCTAATACCCTCTTCAATGAGATCAAGACGCCCAATGAAGTTCTCCCATTCAAGATCTGAAGCAAAGAAAAATAAGATTAATGAGCATTTTATGTACAAATGAAACATAGCAACTCCAAAAGGGACATTTCCCTTGAGAAAAAGGTCAATGTAGTCGATACCTGAAATACTAGTTTACTCTTTTTTCCAGGTTCTGAAGGACCTGGTGAACATATCCAGGGCTTTGATCCGAAAAAGATTAAGAACAGAAAGCAACTCAATCCTGAATTGAATGAAATACATGGTCAAAACAACCTTATAACGCCGCAAAACAAAATGAAATAGTATGATCTATCTATCATCTATCAGAATAATGGAAAATACACTTTACACATCATCCACACAACACGATATGGGCTGTCATTTTTGCCACCTATGCACGCGGAAACTCCATCCTGTGGTGTGAAGTCCAAGCACATCCTGTGTGTTCAAGTTTTGCCAGTTGAAGTTTTCACATGTGTTATGCAATCTGTCATGGGAGAAACAAGCAACCCAAACTTCATGGCATTTGCTACCGAAAGACACATGCTCTGAGCAATCTCCTTCAGATCTATAGCTGAATAAAAATAAAAATAAAAAATAAAAAAAACAAGGCTGAATAGCTTGAAAACTATTTATGCAGTTTGGAGCGATTATCTTTCATTTGATACACAAAACAAATGTAAAGCAAACAAAAGATAATTTCGCACGATAAAAATCCATACCTATTACTTTGCTGAAGAAATTTGGTTTACTGATGACATCCAACTGCTTGAAGCACCATTTTGATTCCCAACTCTACGGCCTAAGTTTGCATTTTCAACCGGCCCCTCTGGTTTTTGAAAATGTCTTCTGAGAGAAAATGCAGTAGGTGGCATAGGTGCATTACTCGCATTCTGAAACAATTACCCAGTACAGCATAACATGAAATACATGAGTACATCTTCCGTGCAAACAGGAATAGATATTGGAGGTGACTCGAGAGAGATACATGCAAAAGTAAACATTAATGTTTTACATTACAAGTTACGTACGTGTTTCTCAACAGTATTATTAGCACCCGAATTCTGGGCTGTTGATGATCTATATTGCATATGAACATCTGGATGCGCATGATTGCTTGGCCGCTTATTTGCTGTGACCTCAGCTGGTCTAGGAACATCATGAATGCCTGGAATCCATAAATAAAACCTTAGACATGAAAAATATTTGATAAACCAACATTTTCTGGATAAACAGACTCCTCGAGAATGTAAACAACAAGGCTTTAGTATAACAAAAGCCTTCCCTCAAGTGAAAACCGGAGTACTGGACCTTTACCTTTAAGCCTCATCGCATCCGCAGGCACTGCTTGACCGCTAGGAATTTCTCGACCAGAGACAACTACAGGTGGCTGCGGTTTCTGAGATGAATTTAGAAGAAACAAAATCAAACAAGCAAGAATGATAACATCAGTACTTGGAAGGAAAATTAGATACATACAAGGAACAGAACTTGGACCTGTGCATACAATTTTAGCAGCAGTTAATAGGAGAAAGTAATAAAAGAAAGTGTAATGAAGTACTAACAGATGATTGACCCTGAGTCCTTGTATGCTGTGCCTGCTGGTATTTTAGAATTGTCCAGTCAAATATATAGTCAAACTCGTATCCTGTGAGATATGGAAAGCAATTTTAAACATCAATAGACAAAGATTGCCAGTTCAAAATACACCTAAATCGGCACATTTAATAATTCTATACACTTTTCCATGAAGCAGAAGCTCATTTGTACAAAGCACTGGCATTTTTACAACTATTTATAGGTTGCAGGAATATAGAAATGGTGAAATAAATATCATACCTTCGCGGCTAAATAAATCACGAAACAGGCGCTTCAAGAATGCATAATCAGGGCGTTGATCAAATGTTAAAGAGTGGCAATAATGGAAGTAGGATGCAAACTCCACAGGATGCGATTTACATAAGACCTGGAAACAAATGGGCATCAGTACATAGAGAATACAAATTTAAAGACACAAAAAGGATGCACCATAAATTCTTGCTCAATTGTAATCAATCTCTGGAAAGCTTCCAAAAGAAATTAGTAAACCCCACTCCTGAAAGGAAAAAAAAAAACAAACAAACAAAAACAAAAAAAATTGGAAGCTGTTTTATAATTGCATACTTCTTGAGAAGAATTCTTAAAATCTGAACTCATTTAGATTATATGGGGCAATTCCCGGTAAACTCTATATGTAACATAAAATGGGAAAGAACTAATACAAATGCCTAATACAAAATTTTAGGAGACGAGGATGTAACAGAAACAGCATTCAACAAGTCAGCCCTGTTGGATTGAGTTCTAAACATGATCCTCCTATCCACAAGATGCACATACCTCAATGGGAGTTGATAGCTTCTTCTCACAAATCTTATCATATTTTTGCTTCTTTGTTGCAGCTTTTAGACCCTGCCAAGGAAGGCTAAATGCAGAAACCAATTAGTCAGCCAGGCCGAAAAATAGTATAGAGGAGTACCCAGATATCTGGTCAAAACATTGTGCGAAGAGTGCTTGTCATCAAAATGAAATTGCAATAGCCAACGCATTGGTTTCACCAATAAAAGTAAATCAGCAATTCAAAATATAAAATTCTCATTCAGAAAAGTGGTTCGACTTTATGGCATACCTTCCTCTTAAGAAGTACAGAAGAACATATCCAAGTGACTCCAAATCATCCCGACGACTCTGATCTAGAACAATGAACCCAAAAAATGAGAAAAAAAGATAGTCAAAACATTTCAAACAAAATTAAATAAACAGTACATCTCTACTTACCTATTCCCAAATGGGTATTGCAACTAGCATAGCGTGCAGTTCCTGTTAAGCTTTTGTTTTCTCTGTATGAGTTTGAAAAAGAAAAGATAAACACATACTGAAAAGCAAAATACCGTTGAGAGTAGGAAAAGCTCATTCAAGACACAAAATTCCCACTAGATTTAAGCGCGAACCAAATTATGGAATTTTACCTGTACGGAATATGCCGGTGTGTATTTTGGTCCCGAAATCTTTTTGCAAGTCCAAAATCAATAACATAAACCTGATTAATGTGTATTTAACAATGGTTAATAACAGAGAAATCCTAAAAGCTTTATTGTTCCTGCAAGTTAGATGTTGAAGAGGAATGCATTAACATTACCTGATTTGCTTTCCTGCCAAGACCCATGAGGAAGTTGTCTGGTTTGATGTCTCTATGCAAAAACCCTTTAGAATGTACATATTCTATTCTTGTAATCTGCAATTGAATGAACAAAGGAATCATATTTACCGATCCACAAACATTTAGCATTCAGTAATCAGGTGCGGGTTTTAAAAAGTGAGACCTTTTAAATTGCAACTGACGAAATAATATGGCAAGAATTTATGTAAGCAATCCATAAGACATAAGCAAAACCGCTTTCTAACAACAACTAATTATAAGCTTAACAAATTATAAGCCATCACAGAGAATATTCAAGATTACCATCTGATCAGCCAACATTAAGACTGTCTTCAGTGAAAACCTCCTCCCACAGTACACAAAGAGGTCTTCAAGACTCGGTCCCAGCAAGTCAATGACGAGGACATTATCGTCCCTATCAAATCCCGCCCATCTTATGCTTGCAATACCACCTGAAGGGTCATAAACTCAAGTCATTATATATATGTGTGTGTGTATATATAGTGAAAATAAGATCCAAGGTGATAGCTTATGAGAGCACGTAGTTCCCAAAAAAACACTACTTCTATTGAATCCTTACTTCCTCCCTGTAGAATTTTATAAAGCTTTGCCTCGTACAAAAGTTGTGGATGTTTTGTCTTGTTATTTTCCTGCCAAAATAAAAAATAAAACAAATTACAACCAATCGCTCGTACATCATTCTATTCGTCTGCAATACTATCCTAACACGCAGTCGCCCACCTGTACCAAAATACGTAGAACCTTACCTAATTCTGACACAAGATTCCACTAACAATCACAAGAACCATAATTTTATCAGCTCAAAATGCAGGCTATTAATTCACAAACAATGCAGACTCAATTTTTTCCCGGAAACTATTTTCCTCGGAAACAAACACTCAAACTATCCGATCACATTTGAAAAATGAATGGGATCGAATCGAAACTTACAATCTTCGCCGCCAAATTCTCGCCAGTCTCTATATGGGTTGCTGAAAAACCAAAAAAAATCAAAATAAAAATTTACAAAAATTAACCAGGAGGATCAAAAATAACAAAATTTTAAAGAAAAAGGGAGTAAATATAGCTAATTGAAGGATTCACAAACCAAGATACAATTCGCCGAACGATCCGCTCCCAATTTTGCGACCTAATTTGTACTTCTCTGCGATGATCCTCTCCATAAAAAGCCCTAATTTCTCTGGAACTGATTGAATTCGTCGACGAGGAGAGAGAAAGATAGGGTTTTTAGGGCAAGGTTCAGATCGAATAGCAGAGACGACGATTCGGTCAAATGCGATTTGGGGATTTTCAGGGAGGGAGAGGTTGAAAAAAATAAACGAACAGGACTCGGATGGCGGCCACAGAAGAGAGAGACGGGATCTAAAAAGTGAAAGTGAAAAAGAGTTGGGCGAATATGGTAATTACGGATCTTGAAATGAGGGGTAAATTTTGGTATTTGTGAAATTTAGGGGTGGGTATTGAATTCCTGAAAGTATTGGGAAGCGCAGCTACGATGGCGGTAAAATTATTTTCAAAGTGTTGGAAATTAAAAGTCGGTTGTGGAGAATTTTTTACCCGAATAAAAAAAAGGTAAAAAGTAAAATTCGGTTCTTCTATTGGTCAAAGAAACGAACAGTTTCTCTTTTTTTTTTTAACAAAGAAAGCAAAAGGTAATTAACTTACCAAACTTTGCTTTTGTTGGAACTAATTACCATATTAATTAATTAAGAGAAAAGACAAATAAATTAGTTCAAGCCTTTGAAATATTGTATAATATTTGGTTTTTAGAATCGACGACTGACCAAAATGTTTGAATTTGGACTAACGCTTAATGTTCAAGGGAGAAATTTAGACGATAATTATGTTGTTTTCCCTAATCATGCATTGCTTAACAAGTATATTTTTTGTCCTTTAATACTTCGATCTAGTGATATTCCTCTTTATTTGTAAGTGAGATGTCTTAAGTTTGATTATCGCCAAATGCGAATTTAAACCACATTATTGATAGCCCATTGTGAGGCTAAGCCTACTCCCTCCCCCTTAGTGTAAATAATATCGTTTGTTAAAAATAAAAAAAAATGTGTGATATCCACACACCCTTTTTTACTTCTCCCACACCTTTTTGGTTTTCGGTCATCGGATCGGATGAATTGAAGAATATCAACGGACATAAATTAATAAGGGGTGTGTAAGAAGTAAAAAATGGTGTGTGGATAGCACACCCCTAAAAAAACAAAAAAAACAAGTATATATTTTGGAGTTTGGTAAAGTAATTTGGTTGTTATGATGTTGTTGCCTATACTTATATCTAGTTGCATCTCATTGCATCACATAAACCTTACCCTTCACAGTGACTGTTACGGTAGCTCGCATGATAACCACAGTTAGCTTAGGTATTTTTTTTTCCTTTCCTTTTGCCCATTTCGATAGGGTTTTCTTTTGCTAACCTTATTGCTCGACCCACTTAATAGATTCAAGTTTTTTTTTGTGAGAAGTATATTCAAGTTTACGATGCAATCAATGAAAAATATGTATCAATGTATGTACAACAACCAAAAAAGATGCATGCAATCCTCTATGAAATTTGCACCCATATCCCAGAACTCAGAACTCCATTGTGCACAACAAAGATCAAATAAAAACCCGGAGGAGCAATCTCCGCCGATGGCGGCGCTACAACCTCCACCCGAAAAAATTCCGATTCCACAATTTCCAACTTCTTTATGGCCAATACCAAAAGCCTTTGGCCCATGGAAAAACCATGGGTTGTGAAAGAGAGTACATGGTCACCTTCAAATCTGATTGGTCCACCTTAGCTTTCTTCAACTTGAACTCCACCACAATATATCCTCTGTATTTTACCATTTTGCCCTTGTAATCGGATGTTATCGCAGGTCTGTCCGAGATGAGTAAAGGATCGAAGTATGGTGGGCAAAATTTCTTGACCCGAAGTTCTGTCGGATACTTTACTCCTGTGAAATTGTAGTAGTAATTTGTGTTGCTCCCAGCCACTAATATTTTGCCATCTAGCAATACCATAAAGGTTGAACCGTACATTCGTGGTATGGTTGTCGCCTTTAGCTCTGTGAACCGTTGGGTTGTTGGGTTGTCGGGTCTAATAAATTAATGGGGTCGGGTTCGGATCTTGTGCGAAGTTCCACCCGGATATTCCCTCTTTGGCCCCATTGACTATAAGGATATCACTTGTGGGAAGGATCAGCAGATCTCCCATAGTCCTTGGAGTTGGCATCATCTGCTTCTGCCATGTGGATTTTAGGGTCTGTTATATCAATCCTTCCACAATCTTGCAATGCAGTTACGAAAATACCTTTCTCAACTAACTTTCCCGCTCTAGGATCCGCTCCACCGCATATTATAATTTCGGCCAGGATTGCTTTCGGGTTCGGGTCACTGAGATTTATAGGTAGCAATGCCGCCAGTGCCGGATGCAGGGTAGTTTCAAGACCCACCATCAAGGATAGGAAGCTCCCGGACAATCTTATTGGTGGTCGGATTGAGTAGAATTGAACGGTTATTAGCGAAGATTAGAATGTTGCCATCCGTGGAAAGGAAGACAAACGGGTAGAGATTATTCTGAAACAGGTCAGTGGTCTCTTGGAGAAATGGTAATGGAAATTAAACATCATTAGAACCTCCCCCCTTAGGGATATACTCGTAATTGAACATGCGTCGGCCTCCGACCAATATGAAATTGCCATTTGGCAAGATATGTTGCGTAGAGAACCTATTTAAAATGTAAAAAAATTAGTAGTCATCAATGTTCGTTTTAACTCTGCAATCAACAATTTACAGTTATTTATAAACACATCGGATATAATTAACAAGGGTAAATCTCAGTTAACTACCCTCAAGTTTCTTGGTTTTTAACATTTAGTACATGAAGTTTTTTTCGTCCCAGAGTCATACATAAAGTGTTAATTTTGTGACAGTCTCATACATTCGTTAGTTTGGTGGTTAAATCAGCAATTAACTGATGATGTGACGCTCACGTGGATAATGATTGGACGGTGTCAATATGGGTTCATGTGAATATTAAAAAAAAAAAATTAATTTTAATTTTAAAAAAAAAAAAAAAATTCTGGGCAACCACCCATTCCCCCTCCTTCCTTCTCCCTGCCTTCTCTTCCCTGCACCTATCCTCCCCGCACGCCCACCCATTCCCCTCATTCTCACTCCATTCTCTCCTCTGCACTCACCAATTTATCACGATTGCTTCTGCGATTGGGAATTAGGGTTTTTGGGGTGCGTTTCAGATTCAGATTTTGTAAAATCAAATTGGGTTTTGATTGTTGGGGTTTAATTTGTGGTTGCAGATGGCCCGTACCAAGCAAACTGCTCGGAAGTCCACCGGACGCAAGGCTCCAAGGAAGCAACTTGCTACCAATGTTCGCAGATACCTTCTTCAAACCCTAATATTTACTCCCTTTAATCTGCTTTGTTTTCTTTCAATGTGTTGATTCTATTTTGGGATTTTCTCAGGCTGCTAGGAAATCAGCCCCTACCACCGGAGGCTTGAAGAAGCCCCACAGATACCGCCCTGGAACTGTTGCTCTTCGTTATGTATTCGAACCCCCATTTAGTTACCCAATTAATCTTAAAATTTGTAATTTTGATTGTGGGTAATTACGGAAATCAATTAAGGATTGGTAATTAATCATTCTTGTTTTGTGATTTAACGTTGCTGGATTGTGATTGTAATGTGTTTGTGAATATGCCGCAATGAAATCCGCAAGTACCAGAAGAGCTCAGAGCTACTGATCAGGAAGCTCCCGTTCCAGAGGCAGATGGGTGGGTGTGCGGGGAGGGTGAGTGTGCAGAGGAGAGAAGGGAGGGAGAAGGACGGGAATGGGTGGGTGTGCGAGGAGGATGGGTGCAGGGAAGGGAAGGGAAGGGAAGGGAAGGGGAATGGGGGTCATGGATCTACCGTCTCCAATTACGTGTCTTTTTTATGTCTCCTTTATGTTTTTTTGACATGTTTCCTCTAAGTTAACCAATACTTAAAGACTGTTAAATTTTATTATTTTGTGTTGAAAAAATAAATTTAGACCAGCTATATTATCTCTTCCCCCATCTTCTTAACGACGACCAAGGTACCCACCCTTCCGCCATCTTCTCATTGACGCCGGCGTCCCTCCATCTCCTCCTCTTCCTTCGTCTCCCTTTGCTCCTCCATCCTCCTCTATTTTAGCCCAAACAATTGCTCTCTCCAACTAAATCAATGACACCGACTCCAATTCGAAGGCCTACAAACTTCCGTCCATCTGTGCGGTGGTGCAGATTATGTAAAGCATGGTGGTAAGATCCTTGCAACTAGTATCGTTGCATCTGGTGGCTATGCAGATGATTTCGATATCAAATTCCTTGATTATACAGGCCAAGTAGGAAATGTGATGATTACTGATTTGGAACCTGAAGATTAAAAGCTTGAACTGGGAAACCTTGCTTTGAAGAATAAGTCTGGATGAAAAGAATGGATAAAAGATTGGAAGAAATCATGAGCTACACGGAAAAAAAGTGAAGAATTCTGGATTTACTAACTGAACAGTTAGTCTGATTATTTTGGTTTTTATTTATTTTTTACTTCTAAATATTAGATAAAAAGTTAACAGAGTTATATCTATGTTATGTTAAATGATATGTGTCAAAGTATTAGGAAAGAGACACACAAAAGGGGACAGCAGATCTGAAGCGGGGAATGGGTGGGTGCCCAGATTTTTTAAATTTTTTTTTTTTAAGTTTTTAATTTTTAATTTTTTTAAATTTTTTAATATTCACGTGGTCTCATATTGACACGTGACGTCCAATCATTGTCCACGTGAGCGACACATCATCAGTTAACGGTTGATTTAACAGTCAAACTAACGGATGTATGAGACTGTCCCAAAATTAACACTTTAGGTACAATTTTGGGACGAAAAAAACTTCATGTACCAAATGTTGAAAACCACAAAACTTGAGGGAAGTGAACTAAGATTTACCCAATTAACAAATAACTAACAAATTAATATAACATACCATCTTGAGGCAGAAAGTGACATGGGGTGCTCCTCCCAGTCACAGGTATTGCATCCGGAGAGGTATCTCACAGACCTCCCTCCAACAGCCCATCCACCGGTTTGCACAAGAGTGCCATTAGCTGATAATCCACCAGATGAGCACCATGTGTCTGTCAAGATCTGATTTAAACTAACAAAGACAAAAGTAAGTTACAGCAAAACAAATGGAAATATGCACAAATATTTGAACTGGTTAAATTTTTTTAACCAAAAATTGAATCGAGACACTAATACAAAGCAACAGTTTAGTGCCTTTATATATTTTGTTTAGTGTTCCTCTTTCTTTTTTTTTTCGATTTAAAGTTCGTAACCGATTCTCAAAATATTATGTAGTTATGAAACCCTTAAACTAGTTTATACATACCTTAAGCGGCCTAATAGCTGCAGTCCCAGTGTCAAATTCCACAGCATGAGCCCAGCAATCCACTTCATAGTATTCTCCAGTTTCATCCCTCTCATCGAAAACCCGACGACAGTCTCCAGGAAGCAACGAGATCTCCGATGGACCGAAACCGGCAGCGTCAAACATAATGGCCTTGTTACTATTAGGCATGATGGTCATGTGCATGGCCGATACACCTGAATTCTCCGAAACCAATTCCCACCCACCTCTATACTCTCCCCATCATACTTGGCGGCTCCATTTTCTTCACCACTCCATTGTATATAACTATGACTGGGGTTTCACGAACCCTAGAGTTTCCAAACACATTAGGGTTTGTGAGACAGTAGGTGAAGAAGAAGAGGGAGAGAAGAGGGAGGGGTTTGAGAAAGATGGACATTATTTTACAGGGTGCGCAGAAAAAGGATCTTTTTGCAATGTTTTCTCTTATTTCTTGGTGCTCCTTTTATGCCTTCTAAAATTTTCCAGCTTTGAATGATTTTTTGGATGGCTTTGCCATCTCAACTCTCTAATTAAGTACCAGTTTTTTGGTCAGCTGAAATTCCCTTAAAAAAAAAGTAAGTACCAAAAAAGGGGCATTTATAACTTGAAATGCCCGTTTTTAAGTTATAAATTGAAAATGTTGTCCAAATAAAAAAGATTTAAGTTGAACATAGTAGTGTGAACTTGTAATTAAACATGACATTAAAGTAATTGATTGAATGATGAAAGATGGGATGGGTCAAGATAGTGAGACATTTATCATCATCTCTTGTTGAGATTAAATTAAGTAAAAAAAAAAAAAAAATTTCGGCCTAGACAATTCTTGTACAATTAATATAGTTAACGTGTAACATGATGGAGTTAGGAAAAAAAACTGTTTGTCGTACTAAAATTTAGTTTTGAGATTACAAAATTTAACTTTAAACACATTTGGGTTGGAATCGGCTTTAGAGCTCATGGGAAGCACCAAATTAGATTTCAATTGTCACCATGTTTCGAATTATTGGGTCAAGATATTTGGATATTGCAGACAAAAGAAAACGTGTGACAATGATTTGGACCCATAATTACTAAATTAATAACAATGAATTAATAAATTAATAACAATGATAAGGAGATGGTGTGGATTATGACAGAAACAGGCATAACATTGTTTTGTTCCATTAAACTGATTAGCCATTTATGATAAATTAATATAAGTGTTTAGTTTTTAATTCTGATTTGTTTAAGTTTTGGTGCTACATTTGTCAGATTCATGATATCATCTGTCTGAATGTGTTTTGTATGTGCTGATTTGCCTATTCCTTGGCATATTCAATCAATTCTTCAAATTATATGCATCTTCCGGAGAAAATTAATCATGTATTTGATTAAGGAATAGGTTAAATTTTAATTTGTATTATGTTTTAGGATCCGACCAGGATCCTTTTTTAATGTTTTTTTGTTCTTTCTTTATCAAGTTGGGAATATCACTGACTGTGAGCTTGTACAACTAGTTGTTGATTCATTTTGAATAATCAACATTATTTCTTACAATGTTTTGGGCGTATGAATAACACAAAGAAAACGGTCATGATACAAGCTGAGTAATAGTAATACTAATTAGTAAACAACTTGTAGATGATATTTGCTTATAACCAAGTGGTATGAAGGGACAAATGTGTAGGTGGAATAGTATTATTAAATGCATGATGTTGGTTTGCTTATAACCAAATGGCATGAAAGGACAAATGTGTAGGTTTCATGCATGACCTGTAGTAGTATTAGTAAATGCATGATGTTTACTTATAACCAAGTGACATGAAATGACAAATGTGTATGTTTCATGCATGACTTGGAATAGTATTAGTCGTCGGGAGATTTTGCATCAATTTGTTTTTGTTTTTAATATGTGTATATTAAGTTTTATTTTAAGAGGATTGCTCATCATCCCTAAGTTGTGATAATGGCTTTATTTATCGTTGTTAAGTGAGTTTAATTAAATTTTGAGATTATGTTTATTCACTACATATGTTTCAATTTTTTTTTTTTTGAGTCGAGTGATATCATTACTAGTAAGTTAGATGTTAGATTAGTCACCGACATAATTCGAACTCACGCCGTCATGCAAGAGCACAACACTTTTTCACCACTGTGGTAAAGTACCACTTGCTAACAAGTTGATTGGCCTGTGTGACTTTACTCAACCACATAATTTCATTAAAGTCAAATCTAACGGTTAAGAGAGTGTCCTTTTTTTTTTTTTGAAAAATGGAGATCCATTCCCTTAAAGGGCCTATATAGATATGTGTGTGTGAACACCGCGACTCGTTACAATTAAAAAGTCATTCTTCTAAACTGCAAATCATAAACTAACACATCTAGTGATGCGTCTTGCAAAAACAAACAAAAAGAAATGTTTTGCTAGTACTCCAGACTGACTTTTCTGTTAGGAGCCAAATATGGAGCTAGCTAAGTTAGGTTTGTGGGGGAAGGGATTAGCTGGCACCAACCTGCCAGCTCCAAAGAGCAGAATGGGACCAATACTGAGGAATGACCACATGTGCAAGATTGAGGGATGGGTTTGCATGCCCTGCTATGCCATAGTGCACCACTCCTTCTATATCAAACTGGCTCAGTAATAGCTGAGTAGTTATTGCTGCATTAATCTACAACAATCGAACACCAAAAAAGAAATATTATAACAGAAATGGAAAAAAAGAGAGGAAATCAAATGAAAATTAAGAAAATTGAAGTAAAGCAGATATACTACCATTGACAGTCCTGTCATGACCAATATGACTGGCTTATTAGCAATTGTTCCGAATCGCAATCTCCTCCCTTAAAACCAGAAAAATGAGAAGAAATTTAAGGTGATTTAGCCAGGGAAGAAGTTTAACTTGTGTTAATTTGCAATGGGATACATTTCTAACCAGAGAAATCTATGAACAGGTTACTTGAAGTGAAGTTTGGAGATTGCAGAAGAGGATCCATTTCATAAGAATTTGGAATGACAAGTCCTAAATAAGGGCCACTCATGTTGGCCTCCTCAATCAACATTTGTGTCTCAGTTGACAATGCAACATTTAACTGCAGTGGACTAAGCATCAAGAGAGCATAGAGAAGTATGGAAGCTACTGATAAAGTTCTCATTGTTCCTGCAGAGAGAGAGAGAGCAGAAGAATATAGAAACCGGTAGTGAAACTGGAAGCATCAGAAACTTGTGTGCAAACTGTCATACTAATCATGTCATCGGGCTGACTTGGTGAAGAAACTTTTCTTTATGTGATTTTAATGATTTATTTTTGGATACATGTCAGAGTGTGATTTGCAAATGAATGAGGACTTAAAAGAAGATTTGGTATACACTAGTGATATTAAAGAATGAAGAATCGAACACAAAAATATTAGAGTTGAAAGAATCGAACACAGAACTTCAGAGTTTCCATATACAAAGTGGACAGCAGGATAGGGGAGATTCAAGAGTTACAGAACCAAGCGCAAAGGAAAATGGAAGAAACTTTAAGACTGTACCGAGAGCAAATACTTACAAATAATCTTGAAGCTAGAAAACCAGATGGCAGAAACAAACTCCAAGCTGAGGGCAGGCTGTCTCCTCCTCACTCAGGAGAAATTTTTTATTGTGACCAACAATCAATAGGTCTCCTCAGGAGAAAACTCTCACTCGGTCACAATCTCACAGATCTCAGAAATCGATAGGTTGGGGAGTTGAAATATAATATTTAAATATTGTGGCGAACAAGTGGACTAATATTGGGATAAAGAGAGTGAATTATTAAATATTTATAGGTTAATCTAATTTAATATTTACATCCAACTCATTTAAAAAAGAAAGGGTTCTATTTTCTTCTATTTCCCATGTGTAATGTGTGTTGTTTTTATAATTTGGGCCAACTAAACATTTTACACCTTTCAAGTTTGTAGTGATTTTTAAAATGGATTATGAAGTTCTAGCTTTGTTAAATTGCACATTTGAAGTTACAAAATTGTATCAGTTTATACATTTTGTCTCTTGAACATCTAATCATTCATTAAATTGATTTGAGTCTTTTTTTTTTTGTCAATTTAGTGCAAATGTGACTTATATGTTAGTCCATTCAGGTTCTCAACCTCACTCCGTCATCAATTTAATGAATTATCGTACAATTAATCAAACCCAATGCACAAATTGATAGAAATTCAAGATTTTAGAGTGCAATATAAAAACTTAAAACTTTGTGGTCCATTTTAAAAAAGTACCCACATATAAAGGGTATAGAGTAATTAACCCTTATAAATTCATAGCATAGAGGCAATAAACAGGAATTATAGCAATTAGCAACCTGCCTCCATATGAATATTGAGAATTGTTATTGGCTCTCAAAACATTTAATTTTACACTCCAAACCAAGGGATTCAGTTCACGAAAGCCCCTCAGTTTTATTCAAATTCCAAAAGTGGCATACAAAAAAAGTTCTTAGAGTGAGTGATCACTTTGAAGCTGATAACTGCTTGACAAATTCCTTTGAAGCTGATAACTGCTTGACAAATTCCAAAACAGCAGTGACTGAGTTTTTGGAAGCGAGAGTTAAGAATGCGTCGGCCTCATTCGAATCGGCGCCGCCGCCGCCGGCCAAGTCGGAGATAGCCCTGATGACAATGAAGGGCACCCTTTGCTGAAGACATATCAAGGCAACAGAAGCACTTTCCATTTCCACAGGGCTGACGTTGAATTTGTTGTATATGAAGCCTCTGTAAGCAGCATTGTCTAGATAAATGCTTGCACTTGTTCCCCTATCAACTCTTGCCACTTTTGGTGTATGGGACAAACATGTCGTCGAGTTCAGGCAGCCTTCCAATTTCAGGTCCTAGACACAATGTGCAATTTTCCAATTTTAATTGAACGCTAAAGATAATTATATGCATCGCATTTAATTTTAGACCGCATTGGTTAACAACATGATGGTGTCATTAAATATCTAGGAGACTAGGAATATTGACAAAAATGATCACAAATCAATTTTCAATTGTTGAACCAATCAAAATCAAATATCAAAGAAATACCAATTTGAATAATGATGACATACTGATCATCGATATGTCATTATTGTGACGTGCTAATGTTTGTTGTAATTGAGATATTTTTTGACTTTTTAGGATGTGGAAATAAGCGTGCCTTAAACTATACTCATTTTAAGGCATGAAAAAAAAAACGTCGTGAAAGGAAAGATGTCTTTTACACCACCGCGAACTTTTTTTTTTGGTTTGCCAAAATTAAATTTCCCAGCATTTAGGCCTCTTCAAGCCGTGCTATTACCTCCAATTTTTTAGAGATGTTATAGTAAAGGGGATCAACAGGAACCCAAAAGGCATGTTGTCTTTCCTCTGGAGTTCCATCTATCGGAAAGACTTCCTCCGGTTGATACCAAATATTGTTTAACAGGTTGTCATATGAGGAGCTGCTTGCATTGACTGTATAATTTGCAAATTTTAAGTAGCCAATTTCTCTGGTGTAGTCTCCGCTTGCTTCAAGGGGTAGCTCGTTTTCTGGCCCTTGTCCATATCTCTGCACCATGTCACACGCACACACAAGCACACTAATAACCGCAAATTCATATTTACTAACAAAAAGAGGGAAATAAAGAAGGGATAACTCATAAGCTGAAAAGAAAAATTGACGTTACTCAAGGAGTTAAGTGAGGTCTAATTAACAACTATTGAATGTCAGGGATTAGTTAAGCGGCATTTAAATTTCGGGAGCTTAAATGAACGATATAAGTAGCTCTAGACAGTGTTTGCTCTAAATCTGCGAAACCTTGAGTTCAAGCTCATTTACTAATTAGGTTAGTTTCATGTGCTAGATGATATATATTTGAGAAAGTAACCCCTTCCAAGTAATACTTCCATCCCAAATTGCTTAACTTCAAAGTTTGTAATGAAATTCGTGCATCGAATTCTCTCTATGTACTTGCTTACATGTTTTGAAAACCTAGTTAATTAATAATAAGGTTGTGTGAATTTCCAGTTAGTTGGTAAAAGCGACTTGTGGCCGTAATTAGGAAGAGGAGGCACCTGCCAGTTCCAAAGAGCACTATGGGCCCAATACTGAGGAATGACCACGTCGGCAATGTTTATGGATGGGTTTGCATTACCAGCTATGCCATAATGCACCACTCCTTCTATGTCGAAGAGGCTTAACAAAAGCTGAGTAGTAATTCCTGCATTAATCTGCAAAAACATAAAAATGATAACACATGCAATCAGAAAAGAGGATACAACGAGAAACTTTGAGTGCGGCGATCATAACTTGACATGATGTTACTAATTTACGTATTATATATAAATAAACGATGTAATATATGTAATAGAGTATAACTAATGTCAATAAACATGCCACAACCTGAGTGAATCAATAACACCGTGTTGCGATGTGATTCGCACCCAGGCTGAAATATTACTCGAAGAAAAACTAAAGTGAATTAGAAAGTCAGAAGGTACATGATAATATATATGTATGTGTGTATGTACCATTGAGAGTCCTGTCATAACCAATATGACTTTCTTGTTAGCAATGGTTCCGAACCGAAATCTTCTTCCTTTGAAAACCACAGAAAGAAAGTATATAAGAAAGTATATATTTCATACTAATTATTTGCTTCATTTTGTTTTTCAAAAGGTCTAAGTTCGAATCCCCGTCTTCTTTTCCAGATGAAGAAGTAGAACACGATTTGTATGCGTACCGGAGACATCTATGGTAAGGTTAGTTGAGGTGAAGTTTGGAGATTGAAGAAGAGGGTTCATTTCGAAAGCGTTTGGAATGACCACGCCTAGATAAGGGCCACTCTGGTTCGCCTCGTCGATCGACTTGTATGTCTCTGCGGACAATGCAGCATCTGCCTGCAGTTGTCTGTTAAGCATGAAGAAGCTGATCATCATCAGAGAAGCTACTACTGATGAAGCTCCCATCTTTGTGTGTGAGAGAAAGAGAGAGAGGTGCCCTAAGGAATAAAGAATTAGAGAATTTATAAAGATTTTTCTCGGAATATGGACGATACACTACGTATTAGTACATAAATAATGAAATACTTCTATTAAAAATTAACAACTTATAAAATAAAACTTTTTTTTATTTATATAATGATACGTAGTATATTATTCGTGTTCTTAGTACTTATCAATCGATTCAAAATTTCTCCGGGGGCGTGTGTTACTTATCAATCGATTCAATCCCATGCCATGTGTTGAAGTACACTGACCAAACCCATATGTCTCTGTCTGCTATTATTTCACAAACACGTGTCATCATCTGGGTGGATTAATTAAAGCAATAATTTGTCAAAAGTTAATGAGATTAGGAAGTGGACCCAACCTTGATATAACGAACAAAAATTCGTACGCATTTAGTAATTATTGAGATTAGGACGTAGACCTAACCTCCAGCTCATGAACGCATTTACTCTTCTCGAGAGTAACACGTGATTGGCGTTTTAAAATAACTGAGACATTGTAATTTTGATAAAAATGAATAAATAAAACGAGCTCCAAAAATGTATTGCCATGTTTTGAGGCCATGCATAATATTTTGTAAAGTCTCATATTCCAATTGAGATATCAAATTAAAATGTTGTTTGGTTATTTATAAAACCAAGCGGGTCATAATTTAATAATAAAATAGTTAATAAGTGAAGAAAAATATACATGTGGACCCAACATTAAAACAAAACAAAAACAGATTTTACCATTGCCTTCAAATTTGGTAGTAAAGTGGAGAATGTCGGTCCATGTAGAATTTTAGCATCTCTTCTGAAACGAGAAAATCACCTAATTTTTAGCTCTCCTTGCCCTCATGCCATGTGTAGACTCTTACCTAACAACGTGATACCAATTGTACAGATTTAATAACAACACGTGAGCTAGCTACCACTTGCTCACAATATGAGTGAGTGAGAGAAGCATCAACAGCACACAAGTTTACTTCAAAACCAAAAGTAAGTTCCTTTTGTTACTTAAGAGTTTTGGAGCTTGTTTGGATATGCTTTTAAAATAATTAAAAATGTTTATAATGAAAATATTTTTGAAAACAATCCTTAGACCATCTCCAATGGTTTGGCTAAAAGCCAAATATTTTAACCATGGGCTAACTTTTTCAACCTTCAATCATCCTCTATATTCACCAATCTTTCAACTTTCAAATAATTTTTGTTTCCTAAAAATCCTCAATATCTCATCAATGGGTGATAAAAGAAGGCGTAGCATGGCAATGCAAATGGCACAATACCAAGCAAGGATTGAGATTGAGGATGAATAATTGTTCAACGCCGAAGTTGAACTTATCAACTCGTTTATGATTTTATCCCACAAAACTTTCTTATTTTGATTTGTACCAACTGCACCATCTTCGCTAACAGAAACCCATGCCAAGCATAGAGCAACATCTTCCTCACAAGTCCAATTACGACATCTAATATGCTCTCTTGCCATGTTGAACAATTTGGAAATGGAAAGAAATGGTAGAAAGATAAATTAGAAGATTTGTAAGAGAAAATTGAGTTTTGTGTGGATGTTTGAACAAATACATAGGTATTTATAGAGTTTTTGAGTGAATTTTTAGTTAAATAATATTTTTAAATTATTTTAGCCATTGGATTTAAATTTGGACCGTTAGATCTTTTTTTTACCGTTAGATTTAATTATATTCGATCTCAGCCATTGGATTCAATGTATTTTAAAATAACATATTTAAAAAAAAATCAAATTTGAATTTGGACCGTTGGATCAACCAACGGTCTGTGAAAACCAGCCATCAGATTGAAAATGTAGCTGTTGGACTGCATTGGGTGGCCGACAAACTGCTGAAAGCGGGGCCCACCCCTGTCGGAAACGAATTGCAAGCGCTTCGCGTGGGGGCGAGTTGGAGCATGAACGGGCCAAGGCTGGCCTAATGTCCAGCGAGTCCAGCCGTGGGGGGGGGGTATTTGGCCCAACTTTAACATTTGGCATTTAACCCAATGTTTTAGCATGGGTTGGAGATGGTTTTGGGTGGGGGGGGAGGGGAATTTAACATTTAACCCACCATTGGAGATGGTCTTAGTAAAAATACTAATAAATCCTGAAAAAACACCTAAAGTGCTTCAATGCTTCTAGTAGAAAGCACTTAAAGTGATTTTGGAACCCAAAAACATTTTCACTAGAAACATTTTCAATTATTTTAAAAGCACGTACAAACGAGCTATCGAACGTTTGAACCAAAGATTTCGGATTTGACATAACCAACATTGGTTTTGTTTCTTAGGAACCGAAAATGTGTAGAAAAACCAACTCAAACTCATTTTATGGTTCCGAATTGGTTTTCGAAAATGTTACGAAGCTCAATTGCCGGGTTGTTTTCACTTTTCTGATGGAAAAAGACGACGATTTACAAAGACTTAACTTGGAAAAGTGCTCCCATATTTACACCGTTTAACATGACAAACTATTACGTATTTCAAACTTGAACTTTGTAAGCAAATGATAACACAAGTTTTATCGTCAACAAAGCGTTGATCAATGGGCTACAGACCAGGGGGTTTCAATAACGGAACCAGATTGTATACCCCTTCCACATCGACGGGCACTCTGAGAGCCCGGCTAAGGAGCTCGGGTGTAGTAGTCTTGCCCTTCCAAGTACTGAACCATGGTCCTCCTCCAACTTCCACTGCGGCCATGTTACTTGTAACATCCAATATCATCTAAAAGATAGACAAAATCAAAAGGTTCAAATCACACAAAAATTTTGCCCAAGTGATCAAATCATTAACTATATCACACTACAGTATATAGGTAAGCCAGAAACATACGTGTTGGGGGAAAAATGAAAAGGGGGAAACTATGCGGCATGGTCACTGGTTATGGCTTGTTTAATGTTCTTTTTTCTCGGTTACAGTGGCTTGTTTAATCTAGACGAACAGTTGGAAGAGCAAATAGTTACCTAATGATGGGTGTTATGACAGGCTATGTAGAACTAGTCATTCCTGCTAAAAAAATTTTGGGCTGATATCGGGTTTAGAAGTACTTTCAGCTAAAGATTGATATGTTCTAACCCAGGTCATCTAGATAACTGTTGCTTATTTATCCATGACTTCTTTATCTCTACTGTGGCAAACCAGGGAAGGAAGTGTGCTCTAATGGACTATGGCATAGTTTTTTATTCGCACGGCAAACTTAAATCAAAGTCACAATAGATCTTGTCAAATAACTGGTCAACTTAGAGTTGTATGTCTTGCCTAGAACCAGGTTAGCTCTTTCATTTTCCTCAATTTATCAGAGTCCCAGACATATTGCAAGCCTGGGACAGGAAAAAAAAATTAAAGAAAAGAAAAATTGAAGAAAAAAAAAGAACCGAGACCAATAAATACGTGTGTGTGTATGAGTGAAAAAATGTGCACCTTCCCCTTGCTGCCATCATATCTTCTTTCCCACATTTTCAATTTTAGATCACCAAAACAAGTATCTTTACAAGCTGGGGCAAGTCCAGCTTCTGATGTTGGGGCACGCAACGTTGTACCAGGATCCTCTGTTGTTGCCTCTAATTCAACCTGCTCATTAACAAGACCAATACGTTGGTGACTACAAAGGTTTTTATTACTTAGCACAACTATAGAGATTTCATTCCCAGGTGTAAACTTCTATAATGTTTGAGGGAGGGGCAAGATGAAAGAGATGTTCAATTACCATGTATGTTTCATTCTCTGCAACAATGGACCAATAACCCCAAGGAGCAACTTCCCAACTAACAAGGCCATTCCAGGGGACAAATTCATAAAACTTTCCACCATAGTGAACTCCAATCTGCATCATAAATGCATGAATTGTGAACATGTTAAAGGAAACAAATGCACGACTATTTGTTTGCAATAAAGGGCGACGTTTGCTCTAACTTTACTTGGAAATTTTATTTTCATGGATATCTATCCAATTCCTAATTTATCACGAGCAATTGTACAATGCAAAGGATGAGCCTTTATTTCATCTTCATCTATTTTCCTATAACATATCTTATGAAGAAAATTTTACAGAGACCAACACAAACAACAAGATTCTGAATGCCAAAGCAACTGCTCAACCCCTACTTCTCCCTCCTCTCTGAATCTCATTAAAAATATTCCTCTCAAAGATAATTTAGTGGAACATAAACTGCGCAGAAACAAACTAGGGAAAACAAAGCAATGTTTTAGAGCAAAATCCACCGGTGAAGTACCAAAGCAGCATTTTCAAAAGTCTCAGTTAATCCAGGTAGTTGCCTCAACCCGCCGCCTGCTGTCAGAGCAACTTCTCCCGTAGCACCTTCAAAGACATTACATTGAACCTGCGGTGTGACATCAATCCATCCAAAAAATCAGTGGATGCGATGCCAAACAAATAATACAATGAAGAGTAAGCTTAACCTTTACTATAATAAGCCTACCCAGAACCATTTTCTTGGAAATGCTCCACCCCAATTCTTTTCAGAATAAGAAGGAGCATCTTCAAACTCAAATCTTTCACCGTCCCACTCTATCCAACCTGAGATTTAAATGGAAACTGAGACAATGCCCAGAAAAGTGCGTACAGGTTTCTAAGACGTGCAAATTTTGGAGTATATGATATTCTAAAGACAGAAACACATGATTGTCCAAAAATAAAATAGCTAAATGGTCCAGGAAATATCTGCAAGGAGTTAAAGGAGATAAGCAAATGCCTGTTGACAATCCACCAGCCATGCATATTTGCCAATGGGGTTCAAATACAGGAAAAGCTGCTAACCAGCCAGCAGTAGATTTCTGCTTAGACCCAACATCACCCCATCCATAAATTGGGCGGGTGCTGTATTCCCAGCGAGCAGTTGGCACAGTTTCCACATAATCTGACCTGACATGAACAATAATGTACCTCAAAGAACTAATAAACTCTATGGGTTCAGGCAACCCAAATTTTCATAGGTAAATAACAAAATAAGAACAAGGAGAGGCATACCTGCCATCATCACGAATAGATCCTTGATGCCAGAGTGGGGTGACTTGAAAACCTTCTATCACTCGACTATCGAATTCCTATGCAATATATTCCACATGTGAGGAAAAATTAAAAGAATTAAATTGGGCGGCTATCTAGGAAGAATAATGAATATAAACCAAAACAAATAAGGAGGTTCAAATATAGTATATTAACCTTTGGAGGAACCTCCTTGTTCGGAGGTTTCGATTGTTTTTCTGCTATAAAAGTGTTCCCCAACATAAGCTCTTCCCTACCTACGCATTAAAAGCATTCACAACCAGCATAATTAAAGCGGATACACGGAGAATCCTAAAATAATACACAGGTCGAAAATACGAAATTCAGGACACCCAAAAGAGCAACAACATTTCTTTTATTAGTTAACAACACATCATCCCGAAAAGTTTCGAAATTTGAAATTCTTCAGAAACAACAGATTGAGTAACAAGGAAGCTATATGTAATGCAACTATGAATCTCATGGAGAGTTCGATCCTAACAGCAAAAGTTCTTACTTCCCCAAAAGTTCTGAGATTCTTCAGAGTACTGGCAAATGTACTTGTCGTAAGCACCCAGAATTTGAGCACCGACGCCCGTCGATCTCTGCCCGTTCTGAGCCAATTCTAAAGCCGTCAGCGGCTTCTGGAACGCAGGATTCTCAACGGAGTACATGAAACAGAAGCTCTGCCTCCGCTCCGGAATCGAAACCTTGAAGTACCATCCTTCAAAGAATTTCCGGGTAGTTCCATCAAAATGGTACCTAATTACAAAATTATCCACCAAAAACTCACTCAATTTACAAATTACATCCCCAAAAATGTCAAGAAATTAAGCTCAATGCACATACATACCCGCTGTGAGGAGTTCGAAGGTCTCGGCTTTGCGGTGTGGGGACGTAGACGGAGCTCGCGGCGGCTTTGTCCTGCTGAGTTGTGGAGGAGGAAATGGTGGAACTGATTCGAAACCCTAATTTCGGAGTCCTCAAAGAGCTGCGTTTTGAAGATTGAGAGCGGAGAGGGTTTCCGGTTCGAAAGTTCAAGCTTGGAGTGAAATGGTGGTGATCGTGCAGTGACGACAGGCTTGACTCCATCGATATACTGCGATGGAAGTTGAAGAGAGAAACGGAAGGAGGAGAGAGAGAGAGAGGGAGGAGGTGAGGTGTGTGTTGGTGTGAATTTTTGTGTTACAGCTTTAAACAACAATAGCTGGATGAGAGGTGGCGGGTAATGGAGGCAAACACGAAATAAATGTTCAGAACCCGGCCCAGATTACAAACCGGAAACAAGCCCACATACATAAACCCGAGCCCGATCTCATTTTAGGGCGATTTATAGTGGGTACTGAAATGTCTTGTGGTTTGATGAGTAATGTTCTCTTATTAGACCAGACTAATCCATCACTAATCATGTGGGATGGAACCATTAGTTTGGTATAGACTTTGTGGTTTAACGAGTATTTTCTTGTCAGACAGTCACACACGTTATATTATCAGATTTGTCAATTAACATATATACAAAGTATTATATTGATTATTTGACAACATGAAGGACGTCAAACTATTTGGTATAAAAAATAAAATAAAATAAAACGACCTCGCATTCAATACAAATAGTTGTGATTTTCATACTCGACTTTTTTTTTTCTTTGCATTCATCTTGTTTTTTATTTTGATTTATTTGATCGTACAATTAGAAATAGCGAAAAGTGCAAGGAGAGAAAACCGAGAGTACAAGTTTTAATACATAATGAAACAAATTTCATTAAGTGGCTGAAATTAAGAAGGCCTCAAGCCATCAACAACATTCATCACACTTCTTGCCTTTACTTTGATTTGGGAAATCTTACATTCAAAGAAAGGCTTTGAAGCCAAGAAAATGGCAACAACATGATACAATAGTTTGTAGACAATTAAAACAAAACCTAGTTCAAAATTGTGCTTCACAACCGTTTCGATGTAGGAAGAAAAACACAAGAAAATGTTGTACATGTCGTCTATGAGAAACAAAACAAGGCCAATGGCGAATGCAAGCAAGAGACTAGTCAACACGACGGAAATAACGAGAAGAAGAACGCATGCGATGAATGCGGCGTGGAGAAATGCAAGTAGGAAGAGGTCGAGATTCAGTTCCATCGGAGGGTACAATTGAAAATAGCGAGAGAGAAAGTTGGGGATGTTATAAAGGAAAAAGGTGGAGCTTGAAGAAGGAAAGAGATGAAGTGACTTGCACTCATTCTATTGAATGGCAACGAAGTCATATTTTTTTAAGTTATTTGGAGTTCATAGCAAGTCATTCCGTTTTGTGCAATTTGGCCAACCTTCCCTACTTCAACAAGTAAAATTTTCTCTTGTTAAAAAAAACATAATGCGAAGGAAATTTGGTATCTCTTACAATCACACATAATCATTCCCACCTGTGACTAGGGGAAATAGCGTTTGATTTAAAAACTAGGAAAACGCTGTGGGAAAATCCTCGACCATTTTTTGAATGATCGTATGAAACTGCTGAAGTGTTTGAACATTTTAAAACGGTTAACTAATCCAGAAACAAACGAAAACAGTAGATTGAACTCTAAAAATTCATGAAAATACCATCTAAACGATGAATTGCCTTTCCTTTCTTCTTCTACAATACCATCTAAATGAAATGTTAAATTAAAAAGAAAAAAAATGTTAAATTAAGAAATATCTGATTTGTAAAATAAAATCAGAAAACAATGTTTAAACCATTTGATTTGCATCAAAGGCAAAGTCCAACCCAATTTGGGCAGAGCATGTCCCAGGCATAAACCCAAACTCGACCCAATCGTAAAATTTTTCAGCCCGCTAGGACTTAGCCCAAACATAAGGGCATTTATGTCATTTCGTATCCTACTCTCCGAAAAGCCGGCTCAATTCGCACTAGTGTGAAATTCTCTCTCCCCTTGCTCACTTCGAAGTTCCTACTTCCCCTACAAACTGAAAAGCTTCATCGTAGTCTCAGATCCATCGCTCATTCTCTCACCACCACCGATTGAGGAGGGAGAGAGAGAGAGAGAGAGAGAGAGGAGAGATTTTCAGTCGCCATGGGCGCGGCGAGCATGGCGATTCGAGGTTTCCTGCTTCTACTGCTGTTCTTATCAGCTGCACATCTCAGTCTTTCGCTTTACGAAGATCAAGTCGGTCTCATGGATTGGTAAATTTCAATAGCATACCCTCTCCGTTTGATGACTAAGAAATTATCGGAATATGATTAAGATTTGAAATTCGATTGAAATCGCTTCACTTGATTTCTCTGAATCCAAACGGAAGTTAATTTCTGTAGAATTTGATCTTATATGCGTCGAATTGAATCGTAACCAAACTGTTAGTCGTAAGTTTGAATTTTTGTTTTTTGTTTTTGCATTGATTTTTTACTCTGCGGGACTTTGAATTGATTTTTGTAAGTTTCTGTTTTGTTGTAGGCACCAGCAGTATATAGGGAAAGTGAAGGAAGCAGTGTTCCATACTCCGAAAAGCGGGAGGAGGCGGGTTGTGGTGTCCACTGAGGAGAATGTAATAGCATCGCTTGATCTCCGGCACGGGGGGATAAGTAAGTTCCTCACTATTTGAGATGTAATAATCATATATGGATATTTTTTTGTAGCCTCGGCTCAAACCTTGAACCGAATGTTAACCGGTGCTTTTGTTTTGTGCAGTTTGGAGACGTGTTCTTGGGAGCAATGATGTTATAGGCGGAATCGACATAGCATTGGGAAAATGTAATTGTTATGCGTGCATTCATCCTTTTTTGGTTAAATTTTTTCATTTGCCTCTACACTATATGATTACGTGAACTTTGTGGTTGAAAGACTCATTTGTCGGGAATAAACAAATTTCATATTATCACGTTAGCGAATTGGCTATAGAAAAAAGGGGGTTGAAGTGTGCCACATTATTTTTTCTCTATTAGGAATCCATTATTAAATGCTTCAGCAATGAACGTATATTGTTGATCCAAAGGTTGAGCATTCTATGTTGTTTTTTCAGATGTCGTCACCCTTTCATCAGACGGAAGTATTTTAAGAGCATGGAACCTTCCTGATGGTCAGATGGTTTGGGAATCCTTTTTAGAGGGCTCAGGATCCTCAAAATCTTTATTAAGTGTCCCGGTTAGTAAACAACATTTACACTCACTCTTCCAAAGCTTCATTTATGCTACACAATTCAATCCTACATTTAATGTTCGTGCAGACAAGTTTGAAAATTGACAAGGAAAATTTGATCCTTGTTTTCGGTAAAGGGTCTCTACATGCTATTTCTAGCATTGATGGCGAGGTTCTTTGGGAAAAGGATTTTGCAGTTGAAAGGTACTTTGACTTAGAATTTTGTGATTAATAATCATTTGTAATACAATTCTTTTTTTGTATTTAGTAAATATTGCTATTTCACTAATATTTTGTTTTTTCCATGTTTTCAGTGTAGAGGTTCAACAGATTGTTCAGCCTATTGGCGGTGATTTAGCTTATGTACTGGGATTTGTTGGTTCTTCCCACTTTGATGCGTATCAGATCAATGCAAGGACCGGAGAGTTGCTGAAGCACAACAGTGCACCCTTTTCGGGTGGCTTTTCAGGGGAAGCACTGCTTGTTTCTAGTGAAATTCTTCTGACATTGGATTCCACGGGGTCAAAGCTGGTAATTGTAAGTTTTCAGGATGGAGAAATTAACTATCAACAGACACCTATATCTGATATTTTTGGGGATTCTCTTGGAACACCAGTGCTGTTACCTTCAAAACTTCCAGGATTGTTTTCTGTAAAACTTAATGGGGCTGTCATATTCATAAGAGTGACTGGTGAAGGAAAGTTGGAGGTGCTGGATAAAGTAAATAATGTGGCAGCTATCAGTGGTGCAATCTCAATTTCAGATGGGCAACAGGCTTTTGGACTAGTTCAACATGGAGATGGTAAGATCCATCTTACAGTAAAGCCTACTATTGACTTGAGTGCTGATCTGCTCAAAGAAAGTATCGATATGAACAATCAGAGGGGGGTTGTTCATAAGGTTTTCATAAACAATTATATCCGGACAGACAGGTCTAATGGGTTTAGGGCCTTAATCGTCATGGAGGATGATTCACTTCTGTTGTTACAACAAGGTGCAGTTGTATGGAGTAGGGAGGATGGGCTTGCCTCAATTATTGATGTAGTGACGTCAGAACTACCTGTGGAAAAGGTAGGCGTCTCAGTTGTGAAAGTGGAGCAGAACCTCTTCGATTGGCTTAAGGTATGAATTGTGATATGGTTTAATGGAGTCGGAGACTTATAAGCAAGGCTAAAAGGTGTTGACTTTCTGCATGTTAACTGCATATGGGATCACACTTTGTAGAATTGCATAGCAGTGTGGTTTCATATGCAGTGTGTATACATATGCTCTTTTGTTAGTTTGTATACTGTGGTAGTCATTTTGGACCAGGGTTTTTTAGTTAACATGTCTGCTTGACTGTTCTTTTTCTTATTCTTTTTTCATTGATTTTGTGTTATTTTGAAGGGACACATACTGAAGCTTAAGGGAACCTTAATGCTTGCAAGTGCTGCAGATGTTGCAGCTATACAAGAGATGAGGCTAAAAAGCTTTGAAAAGAGCAAACTGACCCGTGACCATAATGGTTTCCGGAAGCTCCTCATAGTACTGACGAGAGCAGGAAAACTTTTTGCCTTGCACACCGGATATGGGCAAGTTGTCTGGTCTCTCTTAGTGCCTACTCTGCGTAAGTCTGAAACCTGCAAGTACCCGACTGGGTTGAATATTTATCAGTGGCAGGTACCCCATCATCATGCAATGGATGAAAATCCATCTGTGCTCATAGTAGGCCGATGTGGGCAAAGCTCTGAGGCACCAGGTGTTCTTTCTATTGTTGACGCATACACGGGCAAGGAAATTAACTCAATGGCTGCAGTTCATTCTATTGTGCAAGTTATACCACTGCCATTTACTGATTCGACAGAACAGCGTCTTCATCTACTAATAGATGCAAACCAGCGTGGGCATTTATACCCAAGAACATCTGAGGCTATTGACATTTTTCAACGGGAGTTCACAAACATATACTGGTACTCGGTTGAAGCTGATAATGGCATTATCAAAGGACATGCTTTGAAGGGCAATTGCAACCAGGAAGCCGTAGATAGCTACTGCTTTGAGTCCAAGGATATATGGTCGATTGTATTCCCATCTGAC